GGATAATTATTTTAAGGACTATAATTACTTTTTCCACATTTAAACTCTCGCTTTGAATATTCAACCCCTCAAACCCATATGCTTCACTCTTCACTACCCCTGCACCCAATAGTCGCTTATATCTCACCAAATTTCCCAAATTCCTATTATACCCTTTCACCTCCAACTTGTTCGCCCCAGACCCTTTTCCCAATCTACTCTTACTGAATCCTTTAAAATAAATAATGATCCGATATACCCATGCCCACTATAAACAAAAACATCCTGACCAGCCTTCAACCTTTATCACCATACTAATCAATAAGACTTTCATTACTGCTACATCAACCTGTAATATTTAAACCCTAATTATCCAAAAATATATTATAACTTTATTAACAAATAATACAACAGAGCTAAATTTAAAACGGCTCCAATATTTAACATTTACCCTGCCCCCAATTTACGTCTATTTTAACTATTCCATTAACATTTTTACGCCACTTTAGCATTGAAATCCCCAACCACCTTACTCTCACACTTGATTAAAAACCCCCACGCATTCACTAACATTTCCCAAAATCTCTCTCTCTCCTCTACACTTCTCTCTTCTCCGGTCTACACCTTATTAAACCCACTTTTCACATCCAATCCTTTTTTTTTACTCCAATAACCCTTTAAATTTAAATACTTTTATACCCCCCCTTTTTTCCTGCCATATTTATCCTCAACTTATTGCTATTTTCCCTTCTTTAGCCTAACTCTATTTGAAACCCCTGCCCTAATCCCATTTTTCCTCTCCACGAAACCTCCCCCCCCCTTTTCAGCTTTGTTTCACTTAAAGCCAGGACATCCATTTCCCTTTCTCTTAAACACCCACAATCATTTTTTTCTATCTCTGCACAACATCCCCACATTCGATTTCCCCACTTTGACAATTTTTTTCTTCTTATTCTTTTTAAATCTTTACAGAAAAGGGGTTACTACCCATTGTTCCCGAAAACTTCTCAGTCACTCGTAATCCCTTCATCAAGGCATTAATAAAAATTATAACAAGAGGGGGCCTAAAACTATTTTTGTGGAACCCACAGGACAAATCCCCTTCAATTTAAAAAAACCTTTAATGGTACCCCTCTTTCTTTTAAAAAGCCATCCCTCTATCCATGCTAGAACTTTACCTCCATACCTGACTGCCACTTTTTCAAGAGCCCCTTTGTAGGGTACCTTCAAAGGCTTTACTAAAATCCAAAAAAACAATATAAATTTTCCCTTTAAATCACGTCAACTGGCTCAAATGTTCTATTAAAAAAAAGTCACAAGTTTGTCAGGCGGGAACGACCTCTCGTGAACCGTGCTAGATTCTTTATAAATTTATCTTTTAAAAGGGACTTCTAATATGTCAGCTATAATGTTCTAAAACTTCCCACTATAGATGCCCGGGCTTTTGGGCGGTTTTTTTAAGTAACGGACAAACCCCTGTTTTTGAATAAGGAACCACATAAGCCATCTTCCAAAACTCTAGCAAGCACCGTAAGGAGGGGACGCTTTAAAACACACTCGTTAAGGGCTACAAGCTCCATTTGCATTCCTTAACCCTTTACTTTTCAGGCCCCTCTCTAAACTCATTCATGTCGCTCAATTTTTGAAAAAAAAAAAATTATTTTTTTTTTACAAAATGATAAGAATCTTTTCCCAATGAAACCCCAAAATTAAAAATTTTGGTTCAAAAACTCAGAATTACTCCCGCAAAGTTAGTGGTTTTGGCGACATATGCTATCGGCGATTTCGCTAAATTTGAGCCCTATTTTCAGCCAATTCCATTGTTTCTTGACCAAACCTACTATTTCTTTGAACTCCATTTTATCTATCAGCTGAGTACAAGAAACCCCCTTTTACAAATTTTGGGCTACCCAATAGGTGGTCAGAAATTGGCAATTTGGCCAATTTACCAAACTAAAAAAGTGCCAATTTCAAAAAAAGGTCCAGAAAAAACAAGGTAACATTTTGTGGCCTAAAATAACATATGCCTGTTCATTTGTCCAATCTCTAGGCCCCCTTTTTTAAAATTTCATTCTATTTTGATTTTTTTATTTTATACAAAAAAAACAAAATTTTCTGTTAGCAGACTACTCATTTTTGAAAAATGGGATAAATAATATCATCCTATGAAAGAATATTTGACCCCCCATTGACGTGTTTGGATGTGGGTTTTATTTTACTCCTGAAAAGGTAAAAATCGAACATTTCCGTTTCTTTGAGCTCAGTTTCAAGGTCTTTTTACTCAAAGTAATGAAAATCACTCTATTTCTGAATATTTTTTTCCCTTTTTTTTACCTAAACCATGAAAACGCGAATACAACGATAAATACTAACAAAAAACACCCAAAGTCGCGTTTATTCCAAAAAAACGATCAGAGTTTTTTTTTCTCTTACGCAATGGGCGCAGGGTTTTTTTTTTGTGGTGCCCCTGACCACACAGACCCATTCTCTCACATGTGGCCTACCCCTTTTCTCCCCTTGATTTGAAGCCGCTAGAATTATTGAGTATATATACCAGAAACATGGGTCGAAACGTATTTATACCGAAACATCAAAGGGGTTTTTACCCGGAAAACAACTCAGGGGCCCGGGGGCTTATTTTGCTTCATTTGTCTATCTTTTAATAAACCCGTCCCTCGGACATAAATTAGTTAATTTAAATTTATCGGGAACTAAATAATTGTTAATTACTGGAATCCCATTTTCATCTTCCTTTTAAAAAATGACAAAAAAATTCATTAAAAAAGGAACACAGTACTATTATAAATATTTATTGTACGCTTTTGCTACTTTCATTTTTTCTTGCCGCCTTCACCCTTCCCTTCACTTTTTCCTTGTTCACTAAACTATTCTCTGCTACTGCTTCCACTACCAGCATTACCTCTACCACTACTTCTTTTTCCACCTCTCTTGGTCCTGTCCTTGTCCCCCTCACCTATATATACTAGCACCCTCACTCTCTTGTGTTAGTGTGACTTTGTAAATGGTCAAAGTCGAATCAAAATGTTGTTTTAACCCTTTCAGGGTCCGTCCTGTAGATCTATGGCTTTACGTTCAGGGTCCAAACTGTAGATCTACGCCATGAGCTCAGCTCACTCTGATAAATTGTGAGTGGTAAATTTGGGCCTAGATATGAGAGAATACATCTATGTGATATGTGTGCACCACATAAAACAAATCCTGCAGCACACTGTGTATAATGAAAGAAAAAAAATTGAGACTGTGATTTTTGATTAAAACAGCGACTTTGCAGTGTTTTTTCACATGTTTTTTATAGTTGTATTTGCGATTTCTTGGTCTCATTTGATAGAATGGAAGACATTACAGAAATAGAGATGATTTTGATTGGTTTTAGCACTGGAAATGGCTTGAAAGTGAGCTCAAAGTAGGGGAAATGTTAAATTTTTGCTGATGTTCAAGAGTAAACAAACGACCTCACACGTCTAATACACACCAGCTGGTGGGTCTAATATACATTCACAAATGTGGTGATGATATTTATACAATTATTACAATATTACATAACAGTAAATCTTCTCTTTTTTGGTGTGAATAAAAATTCATTATGTGAATAAAAAATCAAAATGGAATTCATTTGTAAAGCCTCAAAACGTAAGTAATGAACAGAGGAAATGTTTGTTTAGTTCCAGGAATACCTACATTGTTTATTCTGGACCCTATTTTGAAATTGGAATATTTTGAACTTTGTGTTAAATTGGACAAATTACCAATTTCCGATCACTTCATTTTGTAGTTGAAACAGTTGACTTGGCGATTTCTTGTGCTCAATCGATAGAATAGAAGTAATACTAGTGAAATAGCTAAGAATTTGGTCGACTGGAATAATGTAATTGGCCTAAAATGGGAGTCAAAGTCGGCAAAATCGCCAATTCGTAAATATCGCTGACACATCAAAATTCATGAGAGCATAATTTCATCAGTTTTCCATAAAATTTTGTACTTTTTGTTTTATTACCTTCAGAAAAAGATTCTCTACCATTTCATAAGAAAAAATAAAAATTTTTTTTTTGAAAATTCTTGGACACTGGTGCACCCTTTGAAATTTGGCCTCTGGACCCTGAAAGGGTTAAGCTTCTCTCTCCTATGTGCAGGTTACTTGTGTAGAGTTGCATTATAGAACACTCCTACAAAATATAGTTTTAATAGGATTTGGCTCTTGGTGTTGAATGTTTGAATGTGCCTAAAATAGTTAAAAGATCATACATTTATTGTAACTTCTTCATGTGTAAATATTGTCTTTTTCTTTTTCCTCATTGTCCTACATGTTCATATACTAATTGTTTTTGAATTCTTTTTTTAATTTTTCCTATTTAATAAATTATAAAGATATGATGTAAGTATATGATGGATAATAATTATTTTCAAAGGATTATATAATTTGTATCTTTTATTTAAATTTAAACATCTCCCTTTGAGGTAGATTGACTGAAAAAGAAGAAATGCTTTCACTCTATCACTGTCTTGCCAGATGCACGCCAATACTACAGTTCAGATGCTTCACCAAACTGCAAATATTCCTATCCCTCCCTCAGAATTCAAGCACTGTACTTCCCACCTCCAAGACTCAAGCCCAACTAACTGGTTTTCCTGAATCCCTTCTTTATATAAATGTTACCTTGCTCACACTCTACCAGCTCATCAAGTCCCAAAAACCATTTTGTACATGCAGTATACAGTGGGATCCTCATATCCGCGGGATACATTCCAAGGACTTGTCGTGAATGCAGAAGCCACGGATAATAGCAAACCCTATATATAAGTCCTATACATACCTATTATAAAGTTTAATTGAAAAAATAACACAATGAGTGGAGAATTATCACTTTCAATGATGGGAAGCACTTTTTGCACTTTGAGGCTATTATTAAGCAAAATTAAGGTTATTTTCGGGCCACAGTAAACTGCAGATATGGGGGTCCTAATGTATATGATCACTAATGAGGATATTGGGTTATTTCCAGGCCACTCGGTACAACTACACAGATGAAGAAAAATTTGCATTAATTGAAGTCATTGCCATGATCAAGGGACTGCAGGTGTTAATGGCTCGTATGGAGACTGTCTTTCTTGACTCCATTCGACGAAATATTTACCAAGAGCTGCAGGACTTCGTGCAGCTTACCCTCCGAGATCCCCTCCGAAAAGCTATCAAAAACAAGAAGGAATTATTGAGAACGTATGTTTTATTTATTGTTTCAATAAAGCTGCAGTAATTTTCAGTAAAATGAAGACAATATTTGCAAAGAATGCTTTTTAATATATTTTTTATGTAGAATGTTGATACTGTGCTTAAATGCTACAGAAATTTTTTCACTCTTCAAACAGTATACTTGTATCAGTGAGAGAAACTAGTGCAGACTGGAGTAAAGGAATGGAACCTCCAGAAGACCCAGCCTTGAAGGGTAAAAAAGACCCAGACAATGGTTTTGAGATTAAGGTCCAAAGAAGAAATGTTGGTGAGTATATATTGTTTGATTATAATGGTCTTTTTAAATTGCCTTTCACTGCTTTGTATGCTTATGTACTCAAGTAGCTGTAATTACATATAATGTTTGAAATCAGTTATATAAGTTTGTTTAGGGTGAACACTGTCTCTTGGCCTCTACCACTTGACTTTAACCAGCTGATGTGAATTAGCCCTGTATTAGTCTAGCTGTGTTTTTAAGGATTGAGCTCTTACTCCTAAACTGAGGCTTTTAACCATTAATTGTAAAGAGTGGACCATGGAATAGACAAAAGAAAGAAGGGAGATAAAGTGTTAAGGCATCTTTGGAAACACAGAAGTTTATCTATGGAAGCAAGATGTTGTGGGGTTATAAGAGGTACTATTCAGAGTATGGAGAAGAGATTGTCTATTTGGTTTGGGCATTTAAGAGAGGATAGAGCAAAACAAGATGACGAAGTGCATGTATAAATCAGGAATGGAAGGATGTAGAGGGGGTAGGGATTCTCTGGGAATAGATGGAATGAGGGTGTGAAGGAAGTTTTAAGGAGTAGGGCTTGAGCATCCAGCATGTGTTCTTTAGTTAATTTTCTTATCTAAATATATCACTTCTATATTTGTTGTAAGCCACGCTTTTTAAGCTAGTTAATAATTTAGAAGTACTTGCCATGAACTTCAGATGTCTTAATACTGGTGGGCTCTGCTTGTACAGTAGGTTTGGTTCTGGGCTACTGCTGTAAAGTGAAACAGCCCTTCTTCCTCATCTTTTTTTTTTCTTTCAAATGTTGAGTGAATGCATGGGGAGTTTTGAATCAAGTGTGAGAGTAATGGTGGTTGGGGATTTCAATGCTAAAGTGGGTAAAAATGTTATGGAGGGAGTAGTAGGTAAATTTGGGGTGCCAGGGGTAAATGTAAATGGGGAGCCTTTAATTGAGCTATGTGTAGAAAGAGATTTGGTAATAAGTAATACATATTTTATGAAAAAGAGGATAAATAAATATACAAGATATGATGTAGGACGTAATGAAAGTAGTTTATTAGATTATGTATTGGTGGATAAAAGGTTGATGGGTAAAGGGTCCAGGATGTACATGTTTATAGAGGGGCAACTGATATATCGGATCATTATTTATTGTAGCTACAGTTAGAGTAAGAGGTAGATGGGAAAAGAGGAAGGTGGCAACAACAAGTAAGAGGGAGGTGAAAGTGTATAAAACTAAGGGAGGAGGAAGTTCGGGTGAGATATAAGCGATATTGGCAGAAAGGTGGGGTAGTGCAAAAATGAGTAGTGGGGGCTTGAAGAGGGTTGGAATAGTTTTAAAAAAGCAGTATTAGAATGTGGGGCAGAAGTTTGTGGTTATAGGAGGGTGGGGGCAAGGAGGAAAGAGGGAGTGGGTGGTGGAATGAAAGAAGTAAGGGTGTGGGTAAAAGGGGGAAAAAGGTAGCTATGAGGGGTTTTTACAAAGCAGAAGTGTTATAAGAAGAGCAGAGTATATGGAGAGTAAAAGAAAGGTAAAGAGAGTGGTGAGAGAGTGAAAAAGGAGAGCAGTTGATAGAGTGGGAGAGGCACTGTCAAGAAATTTTATGAATAAATAAGAAAAATTTGGAGTTAAACAAGTTAAGAAAGCCTAGGGAAAGTATGGTTTGTCATTTTAAAAACAGAGTAGGGAGTTAGTAGATGGGGAGATGGAGGTATTAGGTAGATGGCGAGAAATTTTGAGGAACTTTTAAATGTTAAGGAAGAAAGAGAGGCAGAAATTTCATGCCTGGTCAGGGAGGTTATACCATCTTTTAGTAGTGAAGAAGAGCAGAAGGTAAGTGTGGGAGAGGTACGTGAGGCATTATGTAGAATGAAAGGGGGTAAAGCAGCTGGAACTGTGGGATCATGACAGAAATGTTAAAAGCAGGGGGGGATATAGTGTTGGAGTGGTTGGTACTCTTGTTTAATAAATGTATGAAAGAGGGGAAGGTCCCTAGGGATTGGCGGAGAGCATGTATAGTCCCTTTAAAATAAAGGGAAAGGGGACGAAAGAGACTGTAAAAATTATAGAGGAATAAGTTTACTGAGTATACCGGGAAAAGTGTACGTAGGGTTATAATTGAAAGAATTAGAGGTAAACGGGAATGTAGGATTGCGGATGAGCAAGGAGGTTTTCAGAGTGGGTAGGGGATGTGTAGATCAAGTGTTTACATTGAGGCATATATGTGAACAGTATTTAGATAAAGGTAGGGAAGTTTTTATTGCATTTATGGATTTCGAAAAGGCATATGATAGAGTGGATAGAGGAGCATTGGCAGATGTTGCAAGTATATGGAATAGGTGGTAAGTTATTAAATGCTGTAAAGAGTTTTTATGAGGATAGTGAGGCTCAGGTTAGGGTGGTAGAAGAGAGGGAGACTACTTCCCGGTAAAAGTAGGTCTTAGACAGGGTGTGTAATGTCACCATGGTTTTTAATATATTTATAGATGGGGTTGTAAAGGAAGTAAATGCTAGGGTGGTCAGGAGAGGGGTGGGATTAAATTTTGGGGAATCAAATTCAAAATGGGAATTGACACAGTTAATTTTTGCTGATATACTGTGCTTATGGGAGATTCTAAAGAAAAATTGCAAAGGTTAGTGGATGAGTTTGGGAATGTGTGTAAAGGTAGAAAGTTGAAAGTGAACATAGAAAAGAGTAAGGTGATGAGGGTATCAAATGATTTAGATAAAGAAAAATTGGATATTAAATTGGGGAGGAGGAGTATGGAAGAAGTGAATGTTTTCAGATACTTGGGAGTTGACGTGTCGGCGGATGGATTTATGAAGGATGAGGTTAATCATAGAATTGATGAGGGAAAAAAGGTGAGTGGTGCGTTGAGGTGGTTTGGTCATTTAGAGAGAATGGATCAAAGTAGAATGACATGGAAAGAATATAAATCTATAGGGGAAGGAAGGCGGGGTAGGGGTCGTCCTCGAAAGGGTTGGAGAGATGGGGTAAAGGAGGTTTTGTTGGCAAGGGGCTTGGACTTCCAGCAAGCGTGCATGAACGCCTTAGGAGTGAATGGAGACGAATGGTGCTTAGGACCTGCCAATCTGTTGGAGTGTGAGCAGGGTAATATTTAGTGAAGGGATTCAGGGAAACCGGTTATTTTCATATAGTCGGACTTGAGTCCTGGAAATGGGAAGTACAATGCCTGCACTTTAAAGGAGGGGTTTGGGATATTGGCAGTTTGGAGGGATATTTTGTGTATCTTTATATGTGTATGCTTCTAAACTGTTGTATTCTGAGCACCTCTGCAAAAACAGTGATAATGTGTGAGTGTGGTGAAAGTGTTGAATGATGATGAAAGTATTTTCTTTTTGGGGATTTTCTTTCTTTTTTGGGTCACCCTGCCTTGGTGGGAGACGGCCATCTTGTTGAAAAAAAAAAATATTAAAATTTGATAGCTTGTTCACACTATTATATATTAAGTGGATGTGGGTGGGTGTGAGTTGGACCTGACTAGCTTGGGCTACCAGGTCTGGTGCCATGCTCCTTCCTTAAGTGGAAGTGACCTGACTAGGTGGTCATTGTTTGGCTGGGGGGGGTGGCATGGGCCAGCTTCGCATGGGTCAGTAGGCCTGTTGCAGTGTTCCTTCTTTCTTATGTTCTTAAGTGAGCATAGAGCTAATCCTAAAAAATGCATATGCAGTGCACATTAGTTACCCTAAAATATTTTCAGTCTTGGCTTATAGTGAGTGATGAATATATTTATTGTAGGAAGTCTGACTAAATGAAGAATGGGTATAAATGAAAACCTCTTCATTAGCGAAATGCCGTAAAATGAAGTACTGTAAAGTGTGGCCTGTCTGTATATCAGTTTCACATCCTGTTGCTTGCGTGATCCATGGTGGTCTATTCCCTACTTATCTATATCTACAATGGGTATATAGTTACTATCATCTCTCTCTTTCTCCAAGAAATATCATCTCCATATTCTCTTTAGGCCACGCTCTTAAAAATATATATTAACTTAGAAGAAGCTATTGGTAAAATTCACATGTCATACGATATGACTGGTACACTCTTTTTTCCTTCCCAGAATTAAGGAATAAGATAAGATTTTGTTCAGATTTTTAACCCCAGTGGGCTATCCACCCAGAATAACCCAAGAAAATTAGTGCATCATCAAGGGACTGTATGTCTTATTTCCATTAGGGTCCTTAACCCTTTCAGGGTTTCGGACATACTAGTACAGCTTACGCACCAGGGTTTTTGACGTACTAGTACGCCTAAATTCTAGCACCCTCAAATCTAGTGAGAGTAAGCTGGTAGGCCTACATATGAAAGAATGGGTCTATGTGGTCTTTGTGCACAGTATAAAAAAAATCCTGCAGCACACAGTGCGTAATGAGAAAAAAAAACTTTGACCGTGTTTTTGGATTAAAACAGTGACTTTGCACTGCATTTTCGTATGGTATTTATTGTTGTATTCTAGTTTTCCTGGTCTCATTTTATAGAATGGAAGACATATTAAAGAAATTGAGATGATTTTGACTGGTTTTACAATGAAAAGTATCTTGAAATTGAGCTCAAAGTAGCAGAAATGTTCAATTTTTACCAAAGTTCAAAAGTAAACAAATCATGCTACGTGTCCAATACACGTCAACTGGTGAGTCTAATATTCTTTCACAAGTGCGCTGATATTATTTATACCGTTTCTACACTAATGCAGTAGTCTGCGTAACAGTAAATCTTCTATTTTTTGTGAGAATAAAAATTCAAAGTGGAAAGCAAAAGAATGTAAGAGGGGTATGGGGACATGACTAATGAACAGAGGAAATGTTTAGTGCCAGGAATGTCTTTCTTGTTTATTCTGGACCCTATTCAGAAATTGGCAAAATTGCTAAATTCTGACCACTTTATTGGATAGTTGAAATCGGTAAATGGGTGTTTTTTTGTACTCATTCGATAGAAAAAATGGAGTTCTACCGAAATAGTTATGATCTTTGTCAACTAGTACACTGGAATTGGCCGAAAATAGGGCTCAAAGTTGGCAAAATCACCAATGCGTAAACATCGTCGAGACTGCTGATTTTCGCGAGAGCATAATTCCGTAAGTTTTCCATCAAATTTCATACTTTTGGTGTCATTATGATTGGGAAAAGATTCTCTATCTTTTCATAAGAAAAAATATTTTTTTTTTTGAAATTTGGCGACCCTGAGAACAAGTCTTGGAGAGGGCCTGGCGACCCTGAAAGGGTTAAATCTTGTCCCCCAGGATGCGACCCATGCCAGTTGACTAACACTCAGGTACCTACTTGCTTGCTTGGTGAACAGGACAGCAGGTATAAGGAAACACACCCAGTGCTTCCACCCTTGCTGGGGATTGAACCACGGACACTCCATGTGCAACAAAAGTGTTGCATATCAGGCCATGGGACTGTGATCTCTTGCCTGCCTCTGTATACCTTTGATGTGTTTGTTGACAGATAACTGTTAACTATGGGATTCTGTGCTGTATTTCATGGAGGCCACAGCATGGCTGCTTCTTGATAAGAAATGCTGTACAAATCATCATTTTTATTTGTCTGAAAAATAATTCATTCATAATACTGTATTGTAATTAATAATTTTGACTATTAAGGTTTTTGTTATCTGTTAATATTGCTTGACAAGCATAGTACTACTTTTTGTGTGTGCACATTGACAATATAAAATACAAACTGGTTGAGTACTACACACATACCTTAATCTTACTAAAATACAGTATTTGCTACCTTATCTGTAGCTGTACTGTTACTTTACTTCTAAATTGTATTCTTTATTCAGGCCCATCTTCGACGCAGCTCTATATGGTGCGGACAATGCTGGAATCTCTTATCTCAGACAAATCAGGTGGAAAGAAAACCCTGAGAAAGGAGCTTGACGGACAACATCTCTGTCAGATTGATGAGTTTCACAAGACATCATTTTTCTGGACCTACCTCATAAATTTCAGTGGTTAGAAATAAATCTTTTCTTATCACGTAACCTGTGTCAATTTGTAATATTTTAAACAAACCACGGAACAGGTGGGGTTTGAACCCATGACTGGACTTTTAGGACTCACTTTCCATGGGTTCCAACTTTACCCGTTCTGTGGTTTGTTCGCAGTCGTGTTATTACAATTTTGTGAGTTGTAATATATTTTTGACTAAGTCTTGTTTTTCTCTAGAAAGTAAGAGCAAAGTTATTAATTAACTCTTATGTGCAGACGTGAGCAAAACACGCATGTGAGGTTTGAATTTTTTTCAAAATTTGATGTTTGCTGCCAAGGTAGATTACTAGAGAGAAATAAGTAAATTAGCTATCTAAAGTCTTATCAAGAGGTGGACCTTGGTACTGATGATGGGCTCTTGATCCAAGGAATTAAAGCTACCCCTCTTCCATGGATCTAATCTGATTTCTGCCCATTCCCCAAGTGCTGTATAACACCTACAGTTTTAATAATTCCCAATGAATATTTTTTTTTTTTTTTTTTTTTCAACAAGTTGGCCGTCTCCCACCGAGGCAGGGTGACCCAAAAAAGAAAGAAAATCCCCAAAAAGAAAATACTTTCATCATCATTCAACACTTTCACCACACTCGCACATTATCACTGTTTTTGCAGAGGTGCTCAGAATACAACAGTCTAGAAGCATACACATATAAAGATACACAACATATCCCTCCAAACTGCCAATATCCCAAACCCCTCCTTTAAAGTGCAGGCATTGTACTTCCCATTTCCAGGACTCAAGTCCGACTATATGAAAATAACCGGTTTCCCTGAATCCCTTCACTAAATATTACCCTGCTCACACTCCAACAGATCGTCAGGTCCCAAGTATCATTCGTCTCCATTCACTCCTATCTAACACGCTCACGCACGCTTGCTGGAAGTCCAAGCCCCTTACCCACAAAACCTCCTTTACCCCCTCTCTCCAACCCTTTCGAGGACGACCCTACCCCGCCTTCCTTCCCCTATAGATTTATATGCTTTCCATGTCATTCTACTTTGATCCATTCTCTCTAAATGACCAAACCACCTCAACAACCCTCTTCTGCCCTCTGACTAATACTTATATTAACTCCACACCTTCTCCTAATTTCCACACTCCGAATTTTCTGCATAATATTTACACCACACATTGCCCTTAAACAGGACATCTCCACTGCTCCAACGTCTCCTCGCTGCTGCATTTACCACCCAAGCTTCACACCCATATAAGGTGTTGGTACTACTATACTTTCATACATTCCCTTCTTTGCCTCCATAGATAACGTTTTTTGACTCCACATATACCTCAACGCACCCACGCCTTTTTTCCCTCATCAATTCTATGATTAACCTCATCCTTCATAAATCCATCCGCCGACACGTCAACTCCCAAGTATCTGAAAACATCACTTCTTCCATACTCCTCCTCCCAATTTGATATCCAATTTTTCTTTATCTAAATCATTTGACACCCTCATCACCTTACTCTTTTCTATGTTCACTTTCAACTTTCTACCTTTACACACATTCCCAAACTCATCCACTAACCTTTGCAATTTTTCTTTAGAATCTCCCATAAGCACAGTATCATCAGCAAAAAGTAACTGTGTCAATTCCCATTTTGAATTTGATTCCCCATAATTTAATCCCACCCCTCTCCCAAACACCCTAGCATTTACTTCCTTTACAACCCCATCTATAAATATATTAAACAACCATGGTGACATTACACATCCCTGTCTAAGACCTACTTTTACCGGGAAGTAGTCTCCCTCTCTTCTACACACCCTAACCTGAGCCTCACTATCCTCATAAAAACTCTTTACAGCATTTAATAACTTACCACCTATTCCATATACTTGCAACATCTGCCACATTGCTCCTCTATCCACTCTATCATATGCCTTTTCTAAATCCATAAATGCAATAAAAACTTCCCTGTCTTTATCTAAATACTGTTCACATATATGCTTCAATGTAAACACCTGATCTACACAATGAATATAACAGTAATAATTATAATAATATAATACACTGATTGTGAAAGTGTTGAATGATGAAGAAAGTGTTTCTTTCTTTTTTGGGTCATCCTGCCTTGGTGGGAGATGGCCAGTGAGTTGAAAAAATAATAATAATAATACACACTAATAATACACTAATAAAAATAATAATAATTTTTTTCAACATGCTGGCTGTCTCCCAACTAGGCAGGGTGACCCAAAAAAAGAAAGAAACACTTTCACCATCATTCACACAAGGCACCCAGATACAACAGTTCAGATGTCACTCCAAACAACCAATATCCCAAACCCTTCCTTTAAAGTGCAGGCATTGTACTTCCCACCTCCAGGACTCAAATCTGGCTAACCGGTTTTCCTGAATCTCTTCATAAAATATTACCCTGTTCACACTCCAACAGCTTGTCTCCATTCACTCCTATCTAATACACTCACACATGCTTGCTGTATGTCCAATCCCCTTTCACACAAAACCTCCTACCCCCTCCCTCCATCCTTTCCTAGGATGGCCACTACCCGTTCTCCCTCCACTACCAATTTATACATCCTCCAAGTCTTCCTGTTTTGCTCCATCCTCTCTAAATGAACAAATCACCTCAGCAACCCCTTTTCACCCCTCTGAATAATACTTTTAGTAACTCCACACCTCCTCCTAATTTCCACACTATGAATTCTCTGCATAATATTTACACCACACATTGCCCTTAGACATGACATCTCCACTGTCTCCAGCTTCCTCCTTGCTGCAGCATTTACAACCCATGCTTCACACCCACATAAGAGTGTTGGTACCACTGTACTCTCATACATTCCCTTCTTTGCCTCCATGGATAACGTTCTTTGTGTCCATAGACACCTCAGTGCACCACCCACCCTCTTTCCTTCATCAGTTCTATGGTTTACCTCATCCTTCATAAACCCATCTGCTGACAGGTCTACTCCCAAATATCTGAATACACTCACTTCTTCTGTACTCCCTCCCTTCTATGTGAAATCCAGTTTTTCTTTATTTAACTCGTTTGATACCCTCATCACCTTATCCTTATCTATGTTCACTTTCAACTTTCTTCCTTTACACACCCTCCCAAACTCGTCCACTAACCTTTGCAACTTTTCTTTAGAACCTCCCAAAAGCATAGTATCATCAGCAAAGAGTAACTGCATCAACTCCCATTTTGTGTCTGATTCCCCATAATTTAATCTCATCACTCTCCCCAACACCCTAGCATTTACTTCTTTTACAACCCCATGTATAAATTTTTTAAACAATCATGGTGATGTTACATATCCCTGTCTAAGGCCTGCTTTTACTGGACAGTATTGATTTAAAATAAATTTTTATGTGTGAATGGTGGTGAAATTTTTTGTTTCTTTTCTGGGTCACCCTGCCTCGGTGGGAGACGGTCAGCATGTTTGAAAAGTTTGTTTTCCCATTTTGTTTGGTAAATAGTGTATAGTGTTAATATATTTTTCACTTTACAGAAACTTTGCAATATTGCTGCGACCTTTCCCAGTTGTGGTATCGAGAGTTCTACTTGGAAATGACAATGGGTCGAAGAATACAGGTGAGAATATTATTATTATTATGCAGTAATATTTATGCTTGAAGATATAATTTAAAATAGGTGAATTTTGTATTAGATAGGACCGAGCCATAGGAAAGTTTCTCTAGCAATATTTTAGATTACCTGAATACTTAAGAAGTGCGTGAGTTTCCCTGTCTCCTAATATCATGTTTATTTTCCCCTATAATCTAGCTTGTCCATAATTACTATCGCATTTGCTTTGTCTGCCTCTGTAAGGTGGAGTCTAGGAGCTTTGCTCAGACCTCTACAAGACAATTGTCATCAAAGATTTGTTAAGTTATACCATGAATTAAGGAAAGATCCTAAACTTCACCTTACAAAACAGACAAAACAAATGCGATAGTAATTATAGAGAAAGTATATTATAGGGGAAAAATAACATATAATTAGAAGATAGGGGGGAACTGACATGCCCCTTAAACTGAATTGCAACAGCTGTACTAGAAGGTGGAGAGAGTTTCTAATATAAATAGGAAGAAGAATACAGTTGAAAATGATTGTTGTCTTTTGATTAACTTGATTTGAATGATCTATTTCATAAAATTTGTTAAGTGATTTTGTAATTCACAATATGATTTTGTCATGAAAATGTATAGTGCATTGAAATCTATGAAGCCCTGCTCAGTATCTTCATCATTTCCTGTATCTGTTGTAATAGAATAGTAAATGTTCAGCCATTAATTGAAAATTCATTGTTTAATCAGTCTCAACTATTTAAGTCATGGTCCTGATGATTCGGTAGGAATCAGATTGATAATTTTATATCTCAGATTCTACGATTTAGATTTCAAAATTTGTGGCCGCATGGTTGTGGATAATACTAATTTGAATGTTATATCCTGATTAGTTTCCATCTCACTGTATTGAAATAGCTATCTGATATCTCTATATAATTCTGAATGAAGTAATATTAACTGTAACTGGATGTATATAGGGATTGACAGTGTACATAAAATCTGTAATATATATTACAAGCATTGTAACAACTTGGGATTGAGATATCATTCAGAGTTTGAAGTCATATTTATATATTATAATTTGTGAGGGTTTTTAACTTAGGTGGCTTGTGTTATTAGAGCTGTGGTGTGTGGCAAATAAGTTTATTTAGGTTATTATGGTAAGAAGATAAGTTTGCAGATTATTTTTTTTTTTTTTTGTAAGCAAGGTTAATGAATGGGAAATTTAAGAGTTATTGCAAGATATGTTGTTTCATTGGGGAAGGTGTGCTCACTTCTCTGTGGTTGTGGTGGTCGAATCTCACCTGCGTCCTTCGTGATCATTTTATGTTCCTTGACAGAATTTCTAGACATGTGAATCTGTGATGTGTGTTATGTGCTAATTTGAGTATCAAGCCCGCTTCTTAACTGGGATTTAAGCCAACAACCTTAAGTGTCTTGAGAGGGCACAGCCCCTTTTCTCTAATTGTAAGAAATGCATGCATGACAAGAGTTACATTTTGATTTTTAAAGCCTTAATGCCCTTGTTATATTGGGGCATTCTTCTAATGTATCTTTCTAGGCTTACTTTAGGTTAAGAGATGTGGTATATTGCAATAGTATTGGTAAACATTTTGACAGTTTAATACTGAATATACACAATATCAACAGTACAGTATATTGCATAACTAAACCTCATTAATTCAAATTAATTATTTTTCATGAGGGACAGTTAAATACAGTATTGGACAATAAATAAATAAGTTTCCTCTATAAATTGCATAAAATAATTAACTAAGAAAATTAACTCTATAAATATTTTTTTATAATTCTTTCTTAAATATTTATATATAGAGTGCATCTCTTATCCTTGGATCAAAACTGATTACCATGCATCCCCAGTGCACTCTGTGAACTTGGTTTGATAGTTTTATTATGTGCTCTATGCCCAGCCTGTGGGTGGTGTCAAAAGATTACCGGCACATAATTCGTCTAGTAACTTGACTCACTATGTGCCCCGTGTAATCATTTTGAAAATTTTCCCACAGGATGGGTATGGGATGCGTAATATAGATTATTGTATGAGCTTTGAGCTGTAAAGAGGCAAAAGTGGGAGGTAAAGTGGTGTGGAAAGCAATTTTTAACTTTAAATTGAGCTAATTGTATCAGGAGAGTAAGCTATGATTACTGTAGTGGAGGAAGCTAATTGAGTGAGGGTAAAGATTTAGGAGGGCATGGAATACGTAAAGAAATAATTGATGCAAAAAGGGTGACAAAGAGAGTTTGAATGGGTTAATGGATGAAGAAGGGAGGTGGAAAGAGATGCAGTAATATGAAAACAGAAAAAATAAATATAAATTTTGTTATGTGTGAGATGTTTTAGCTTGGAGAAATATATCAAGTGTTGAACAGTGATATAAATTCATTGGCTACCATGGCTAAATACAGCAATACCCTCCACTGAGTATTGACTTAGTGTGCATTAGTGCATTTACCTCTAGAATTTTAGAGGTATGAATTGTTATGGAATAAAATTGATTTGAATTAACGAGGTTTTAACCTGCTGACATACTGTAGGTGTTTAGAATCTCTTCTTCATGGTTGAAGTGTGTGCCATTAATGTTCTAACATCTGTAAAGGTAACCTGGGCAATGTAGGCATGTGACTGTAGAAGCTTCCTGCAGGTGAACATCAACACTTATTCACCATTCTAACCATAACAATATAAAACATGTTCCTAAAAGGTGTTTTGTTATTGTCTGCTTTTTTTTTGTCATGATAGCTTATGTGAGTGTCTTTTCTTGCCAGTAGATTAACTGAATGTTTATTTTAGTTATATAAATACAATTGTCCTTATGTGTAATTGGCACATTAATTTTTTTTTTTTTTTAAGAAATATGATTTTCTTAAATTTATCATTAATGTTTATCATAATTTTTAGTAAGTAAAAATGTTTTTTGACTTTATTATGGAGATGCTCTGCAAAAGATTCTTCCTATAGCCATAGCACAGTTCATTGGTTTTGTACTTTCTTGAAGAATAAAAGTTGCAATACCATGGTTTTTATAATGGTCCAAGATGGATTGAAATGTCATCTGAAGGTTTACTTCCAATTTGTGGGTTCATTGTTTGCAGCTCCTACTTAAAACTCTGTAGTGCCTTTTTCTGACAACACATCCCTTCTAAGGGTATGGCTTGATGCCAGTCATGGGTTCTTCATCCAAGAAATTAAAGGTTCCATTGCCTTTCTTGGTTTAAGCCTGATTACTACCCCCCTTTCAAAGGCTCTTTATGATTCCTGCAGGGTATGGGACAGAATTTTACTCTCTACTCCCTTAACCCTTCAACTGTCCAAACGTAGATCTACGTTTTCGTGCATAGCGCTCCAACCTTGATTTTCTCCATAAGAAAGCATATTAAAAAATGTAGATCTACATTCAGAGCACTACACAAGTGAATGTAGATCTACGTTTGGACGGTTTAAAGGTTAAGGAATCTGCTTGATGGTGGTGAAGGGTTCCTGATCCATTCAAATCTGATTGCTTCCCATTTCTCAGGTGCTGTATAACTCCTGTGGGTTTAGTTTTTCCATTTGAAAATAAGAATAATAAAAATTATAGGGCGAGTATTGTAATATTAAATTACATTGAGAAGGTTCTCAGGGTGAATAACAAACCATACATTTTGTTTATTATATATTTGTGATAGCTGGACAGTTTTTGTTACTCACATCAAAACATCAAAACTTATTTTGTATTCTTACATTTTAAAATGCTCAGAAGAGATATAAAATGTAGATAAAACCCATGCAGAGGCAGTTTGAGCTGTTGCATTTGATTCTTATCCCATTTTGGCTTTTATTGTTTGATACCTTTCAATGGGGTGCATTGATCTTTGTCAGAAGCTTTTGTTCTAAGGATTTGGAGTTACCCTTCCCTTCCTCAGATCAAATTTAATTGCCTGCCATTTCCTAGGTGCTGAATTTCATGTTAATACAGGAGAACCTCGTTTGTACGGCTCTTAGGTACCCAACTCCATAGGATAAGTGAAAATCACTTGTGGGTGGAAAAAGAGCAGTTTTTTTCATTATTGAATGTGTCAGAAATCTCTGATCATGTCTTAACACTATCACATAGTAAGTGATCAGTACAGCTAGGCATAAAAAACAGATATAAAAGTAAAATAAATACACAGTACAGTGGACCCCCGCATAACGATTACCTCCGAATGTGACCAATTATGTAAGTGTATTTATGTAAGTGCGTTTGTACGTGTATGTTTGGGGGTCTGAAATGGACTAATCTACTTCACAATATTTCTTATGGGAACATATTCGGTCAGTACTGGCACCTGAGCATACTTCTGGAGTGAAAAAATATCGTTAACCGGGGGTCCACTGTACTTACAATACTTACCTTAAAATATGGTGCTGGTTTCCTTTCCCTTATGCAACTGTTGTACGAAAATGGTGAAATAGCTGTAAAAGCACTGAGCATAAGGAACAGTGGCTCAGTTGAAAGCCAGCAAAAATATACAATACCGAAAAGAGGGTGCTGTATATGCGGGGCCCTTTTCTGTATTTCCAACCTTGTTGTTTTAGACCTAATATCTTCCATGTTGCACTTTTACTTATAGAAGCTGAGTAATTTGTCATCTTGAAAGAGGTGGTGGTTTGTTCTGGTTGACATTTTTGTTTCATTTTTTTCATATCCTGGCTCTCCTCATGTTAATCCCTTAATAAATTTGCATTTTCTTATTTTATTCTTTTTCTAAAACTTTTCTTTTAGGCACTTTGGGACACCAATTCCATGTGCTCCATCCTCATCACTGCTAAAATGTGTAAAATCAAAGATTAAAATCTAGCAATGTTTTGTTGTAAGTTTAACCCTTTGAGGGTCGACAGGCCCTCTCTGAGACTTGTTCTCAGGATCGGCTAAATTTAAAAAAAAAAATATTTTTTCTTATGAAAAGTTAGAGAATATTTTCTCGATCATAATGACACCAAAAGTATGAAATTTGATGGAAAACTTACGGAATTATGCTCTTGCGAAGTTAGCGGTCTCAATGATGTTTACGCATCGGCGATTTTGCCCACTTAGAGCCCTATTTTCGGCCAATTCTGGTGTACTAGTTGACAAAAATCATTACTATTTCTCTAGAACTCCATTTTTTCTATTGAATGAGTACTGATTTCAACTATCCAATAAAGTAGTCAGAATTTTGCAATTTTGCTAATTTCACACAAATTTCAAAAGATGCCAATTTCCAAATAGGGTCCAGAATAAACAAGACAGACATTCCTGGCACTAAAATAACATTTTCTCTGTTCGTTAGTCACATCCCCAGGCCCCTCTTATATTTCTTTGGCTTTCCACTTTCAATTTTTATTCTTACAAAAAATAGAAGATTTACTGTTATGCAGACTGCTGCATTAGTGTAGAAATGGTATAAATAATATCAGCGCACTTGTGAAAAAATATTAGACTCACCAGGAAAAAATATTAGACTCACCAGTTGATGTGTATTGAACGCTTGGCATGATTTGTTTACTTTTGAACTTTGGTAAAAATCGAACATTTCTGCTACTTTGAGCACAATTTCAAGGTACTTTTCATTGTAAAACCAGTCAAAATCATCTCAATTTCTGTAATATGTCTTCCATTCTATAAAATGAGACCAAGAAAACTAGAATACAACAATAAATACCATACGAAAATACAGTGCAAAGTCGCTGTTTTATTCCAAAAACACGGTCAAAGTTTTTTTTTCTCATTATGCACTGTGTGCTGCAGGATTTTTTTTATGCTGCACACACTGACCACATAGACCCATTCTTTCATATGTATGCCTACCAGCTTTCTCCCACTAGATTTGAGGGCGCTAGAATTTAGGCGTACTAATACGTCAAAAACCTTGGGTCGGAAGCCATACTAGTACAGCCGAAACCCTAGGGCGCTAGAATTTAGGCGTACTAGTACGTCAAAAACCCTGGGTCGGAAGCCATACTAGTACAGCCGAAACCCTCAAAGGGTTAACAGTCCTGGTTTTTCATGTGTCACTTTTTTTCCATAATTTGTTTCCTGATTTCTTTCATTTTTTCTTATCCAAAACAGCCCTGTCAGTAAGGTGGGGTGACCCCCCTCCCCCCCCCCAAAAAAAAAAAAAAATGGCTTACAGTAAAATAAATTTAATAGCTATTTTGCTAGAAATGAGTGAATGTCAGAGTTCATATGACTATCAAGTAACCATTTTAGATATTTCCAGCTCCAAACTTCAGTTTTACTGTAGCAGTAAACTTTCACGTTTGGTTTTTGCCCAGTAAGGCTCTCAAAAACCTACTAAGTTTTGTCGTTTATTTGCAGAAGTAATATCTCTAATTCATCGTTATGATAGTTTTCTTGGATATTTGCATCAACATAATATATAGGGACTCATGATCACAATCAGATCTTTGCTATGGCTATAGAAAGGATAGCTTTGCTATGCTGTTAGAAAATCTTGACCCAAAACATCTCAAAGGTAAGTCATTTATGTTTGCTGGATAATATTGAAATTTATATATAAAGAGATTGCCAAGCTTTATTGCCATTAAGAAATTTTATAAGTAATTCATTTTAAAGGTTAGTCAAGAAAATGCATTTTAATACACTTTTTAATGTGTAATTGTTTTGTGGAATGTTTAGTAGTTTTTTAGGCAGTTTATTGCCACTGGTTAGTTGTCTTCCTAATGATTAATTAATGGAGTTCTTCCACTTTAAATAATTTAGTGTTACTAAAGACACTGTGTTGAGCTCTAGTGCTTTAATTTGCTACCTGTCATTATGATAATAAGTATATCATTATTGTGATAATACACATCATTATGTAATAATATCTATATCATCATATTTGTTAACATCTGATGGTATAAAGAATAAATATAACATGTTTTTGTCTAAAGAAAATATTCCAGCATTAGTTTTTTTCTTTGCAGTGCAGAAATGATAACCCACTTTCTTCTTGAACCTTTTTCTCTGTCTCATCTGGAGGTGTTAGGCTGTATTGTTGGGCTTGTGATTTAGACTCCCATGGCAATTTCATAATTTTTGAAATTTCTTGAAATAGTTTAATGTTTATGTATACTTGTATATGTTATTATGTAATAATTTTTGGGTGTATAGCATGTATATAGCAGTAAGTGTATCAAGCATCATGGGAAATATGAGAAAAAGTAAAATGTTTTGATTATTTAAAAAAAAATATTAGTTGGTCTAGGACCATTTTTTTTTAACATAATGGACATTTCCCACCAAGTAAGAGTGATGCAAAGAAAATAAAACATCATCACTAGTTCCCTAGCTTTCTTTTGAGAGTGATTCTAATATTGCAATCCAGTCACCCTTCCCCAGTGGAAGACAGGTGGTCTGTTGATTAAAAAAATACTACATAATTAGCCCTCAGTAAGACACAGCACCTGGACTGTCTTCAAAGAAAACTACTTACCAAGCAATTAATTGTAAAATTAATTGTTTTTGCTCACATGCATTGCAATATTTTTGAAGTAGATATATTCCTAGGTATTTTTATGGACCCCCAAGAACAAAAAGAAAAAATGAGAAATATAAAATGACCTTAATAAATGTGAATGCTCACCAAAGGTAGATCAGGTAGTATGTCAAGACTTGGTGGTTAAAGTTGAGAGAGTTTTGTGAGGAACATGATTGTTTTTTATTCACGTTAAGGAGTAGCTTTTGGAGGAAGACTCTCTAAGGTGGGTCCATGCCTTGATGCTGCTGAGTCTCTTGATCTGAAGAATTAGAGCTATCCTTCCCTTCTTGGAGTCAAACATGATTACCTTCCTTATGGGTTTAGCATTTCTCCATGATTATAATCACAGTTCAGCACACATACAGGCAAGCCCCGCTTACACAGCAGATTAGGGTCCAAACTACTGCTGTGAACCGAAAATAACTAAAGTGAAACCTAACCTTTTTTCACCTTCTATTGCATATAAAAGCCAGATAACATGTTTATATTATCATATATTAAGTGAGCAATAGAACCAGGCCAATGAAATGCATATGCAGCACACATATTACTTACCTTAAAATATGTAAAGTAAAAGGACACAAGTGCAACTAATGTGACATTTATTGTGGCAACGTTTCGCTCTCCAGGAGCTTTATCAAGCCATTACCTAATGTGACAATAAATGTCACATTAGTTGCACTTGTGTCCTTTTACTTTACATATTGTCGGTAATTCTACCAACTTTATTACTACCTTAAAATAGTTTCATCCTTAGCTTATAGTGAGTGGTGTATATATTATTGTAGGAAGTATGAATAAATGGAGAATGGGTATCTGTAATTGAAATCCACTGCATCAGCGAAACACTGTCAAGCGAAGCACTGTAAAGCAGGGCCCTCCTGTACCTGTGACTGACATAACTTTGATTTCTAGTGCTTTTTCTACCCACACTCTTAACTTCTTTGTTGACTGCCTGTTTAACCAGGCATGGAACTCATTTTAGTTGAGGTGGAACATGAACTAGTGTTACATCTTGAGAAACTATGATAATATGCACTTTTATCCACTTAATTGGGCTAACATTTGTTTAAAAAAAAAATTATAGGGAGCTAGATCACAAGTTCAGGCTGGCAAAACTAACACAGACCTGAATGCCACCCATGGCTCTGTAAGTGACAAAACTTTGACATTCCATAAACCAAAACATGCATTTCCTATCCAAAATTGCTCCGTAATCTTGCATTAGACATTGACCCAAGAAATTTGAGCTATCTCTGGCACTGTATGACACCTACGCATCTAGCGCTAACATATGCATACAATAATAATGCACAAGTAAATATATATTGTTATATATCTAAGTGTGTTAATTCTTAGTTCCTAGGCAGCAAAAATAATTCAGTTTAGAGATGTCAAATTATGCTTGCTTTTAACATAGTGATTTTTATGCCTAAAAAAGATTGTTAGGGAGAGGAAAGAACGTAGCTATGGGAGTCAAAATCATTGCTCATTTCTCTGTACAATTTAGTGAGCAACATATGTTCTGTGCACCTTTACTATACCATTCCTTAATGACCATTATATTGTGATCATTATTCTTCTCTTTTTGTTTTTGTTCTTGTTACCATTCTCAGGAGTAATTACCTTTCATGTTTGTGTTCTTGAAAATTCATTTTATATCTTTATTTGTGGTGTCAGCTTCACCCTTCAGTATGTGTACTCTATAGTTTTATTCAGTTTCTTTCACTTTATTTTAATTTGTGCATTATTACATCTCTGTTTTGTCACATTCTTATAATCACAAATATTTTAAATTATGGAGAGGAAACTTCAGGTGACATTTCAGTCTTTTGCGAACCATCATCAGGTTGTCACTTGATAATTGTCCATGATGGACTGAAATATTTTTTTAAAGGTTCCTCTCTAAAATGTGGCTTATTTGTGAATTTTTACTGTCATGATACTGTGATTTATTCTTCATTCTTGTATTGTATTTTACTTCATGCATCTTGAAGAATTAGACACTTGCAACACTTGGGATTCCCAAATGTTGCAAAAGTGTCTTAATTCTTCAGTTTGTTGGTTTTGTAAACCATTTACTTCATGCATCTTATATGGCCCTGATTAGCTACTTCTCGACTCTGTTTCCTTCATCATTCTGAATATCTTGACCTCATTCATGACCTCATTCTTGACTTCATTCACTACTACTCTTGGTGCACCTGCCTGTTCCCTAGACGTGCACAGTGGAACACCAGCACAATGAGGAATGCAAAGACTTGGTGGTGATGGAGAAGCGCATTCAGGTATCGCCTTCCATTATGTCTTGTCCTTAGTTGTGCTTGCACTGCCTGCGCATGCATTTTGAATTAAATACCTTTGTGTTTAGTGTATTAGGGAGGTCACTAATGGAAAATGTGTTTTTTTTTTTTTTCTCTTTCTTTTTCTCTCTCACTTGATGCCTCATTGTGTGACAGGGGCATTAATGTATGTGATGGGTTACTTGCTATAAATTTTTTCTATGGTAACCATTTAAGTTTCTTAAACTATGAGAAAGTTTCATTGAGTAGCCTTTCATATATGTTAAAATGTTTTGGTGTTGTATATATTCAAAAAAAAATTAACCTTGGTTTGGTTAGTTTTCTTTGTTTTATGTTAATTTTGCCTGTGGATGTTTCCCTTCTCTTTGTTATTGTAAAAAGTAGACCATGAAAGATTGACTTTTCTTATACTTTTTTTTTTTTTTTTTTTGAAAAGCTGATGAACGGCAGCAGGTGCAATATTTAATATCAAGATGGTTATATATTTTGTCTCTTTGGTTTGTGACCACTTCACAATAAACAAAAAAATAAAGAAAGGTGTTCTTGTGTCTAATAATCATTCGCATAAGAAATTTACTTAGTGTTATATGGTAAATCATTTAATATTCTTCATTACTACGTAACAAAATCTGAAGCGGTTAAAATTGAATAATAATATTTTCTTCTTTCTATAACTATGTTGTTTGTTATGTATTTCTCCTTAGTCATTTTTACCATTAATTAAAGTACTGTATGGGAAAGGCATTTTTAATGAGTTTGTCTGTATTGCGGTGTATTAAATTGTAAAATGTATAGTGTATCCACTAATTTTAACCATATAACTAAATATGTTTTATAGTATATAATAATATCTGGATGTATAATATAGATCTAAATACTTTGGGGTGTACTGTATTGTGAAGCTGGTCTATTTTCTGAAGAGACATTATGGTTGACTAATATAATTTGATTTTTTTTCTTATTGTGTACAGAAAATTGGATATACTGTACAACAGCAATCTTTCTAAATCATTAGATTATTTTCATGTTTGTTTAGTGTCTGAAAGAAATGTAGGTAAGGTGTAAATAGAGATGGCATTAGAGAGAAACAGTAATCGACTCACTCATCCAGAATTGTGTAAGTGTAATAAATGTGTTGAAAATGGCATAAAATATTGACAAGTTGAAGTTAAGACACATGTTTAACAGTTGGATATCTTTATTGTTGAAGCATTTTGCCTACATAGTAGGCTTCCTCAGTCAGATAAAAAGGGAGCAGGTGTAGTAGTGAAATAAAGACGATGTAATCAGTCCATCAACCTTGGAGAGAAAGTATTTGAGGTGATCAGTTCCCCAGCCCTGGCTGAGGGACTAACCACCTCAGATACTTTTTTTTCCCTCTGTATTTAACTGAAGAAGTCTACTGTGTAGGGAAGATGCTTCAGCAATAATGATATCAAACTGTTGCACGTGTCTTAATCTTCGAGTGTAATAAATATTGACTCGGTATTCATGTAAATTATTATTTTTAGAAAGGCGCTATCATTGGTATCCTTCCTGGGTCCAGGAGCTGAGGCTCAACCCCCACAAACACAGTGAGTACTGTAATATATTACAGTACTTAATCGCAAATACATACATACTCTGGGTTAGTAAAATGTAACTACATACACTCATTTCTGTATGATATTTTTTTAATTATAATTTTCGGCATATTTTATTTGGTACAACTTTGTTTACCTTTTTAACGTTTTATAAGCATTAATATATTTAAAAAGGCATCATTATACACACTAATGTAATTAGATATGCTAACTTCATTTACCAGAAGAAGCATTTATAATATGGATGTCTGTTTGATGGTTTTATGGCTGCAATCATTGTTTTTTATTGCATTAATTTTTTTTTTGCCACAGCCATTTCTCATCAAGGTAGAGTAACTCAAAGAGGAAAACACTTTCACCATCAGTCCTTTAATAGCTTATGTGAACACAGTAATTCAAATGGACCTCCAAATTGCAACATCCCCACCCATCCTTCATAATGCTGCTGCTGTACTTCCAGTGTTCAGAACTCAAGTTAGGCTAACTGGTTATACTACCCTGGCCATTGCGTGAAATTACTGCCTCCCTTTCTTCATCAACATTTAAAAATTCCTCAAAATTTTCCTGCCATCTATGCAATACCTCCAGCTCCCCAGCTACTAACTCCCCCTACTCTGTTTTTAATTGACAAATCCGTTCGTTCCCTAGGCTTTCTTAACCTGTTTATCTCACTCCAAAATTTTTTCTTAATCTCAACAAAATTTCTTGACAGTGCCTCTCCCATTCTGTCATTTGCTGTCCTTTTGCACTCTCTCACCACTCTCTTCACCTTTCTTTTACTCTTCATATACTTCATATATTAGCAGTTTGGAGGGATATGTTTGTGTATCTTTATAGGTATATGCTTCTAAGCTGTTGTGTTCTGAGCACCTCTGCAAAAACAGTGATTATGTGTGAGTGAGGTGAAAGTGTTGAATGATGATGAAAGTATTTTCTTTTGGGGATTTTCTTTATTTTTTGGGTCACCCTGCCTCGGTGGGAGACAGCCGACTTGTTAAAAAAAAAAAAATACTCTGCCCTTCTTATATCACTTTTGCTTTGTAAAAACCACTCATAAGCTACTTTTTTCTCTTGTATCATACTCTTTTCTTCATCATTCCATCAGTCATTCCTCTTTCCTCCTGTACTCGCCCTCCTATAGCCACAAACTTCTGCCCCACATTCTAACACTGCATTTTTAAAACTAGCCCATCCCTCTTCAACCTCCCTCATTACCCATACTTGCACTAGCCCACCTCTCAGCCAATATTTATTGCATTATTTCTAATGCTCTCATGCAAGGAGGTTAATGCATCTATTTCTCCTCAAATAGACTAAAGTAAAGACTGGTAGATGAATTAATTGTACCTTATTTAATAAATATTTTTCATTTAATACATTAATTAAATGAGATACAAGTATGGTTCATAGAATTTTTTTTTTTAACACTCCAGCCGTATCTCACTGAGGTAGTGTGGCCTAAATAAAAAAAAAAAAAAAATTCTTTTTAGATTTAGTAATTATGTAGGAGAAGGGGTTTCTAGCTCTATGCTCCTGGCATTTTAGTCATCTCTTAACATGCAGGGAGGAGGAATTTGATAGAAATGTAGGTAAATAATGAGTTTTTTTGTTATGTACAGTCAAACTGAAATGCTGCAAAATGTTCTACACTACTTGATTTGTATATAAAGAGAAGTTTAATTATAGTAATACAATAGGACAGGTTGAAGCCTTTTTATGTTGATCACAATAATTGCTGGGGCAGTGATTTATATGTGAGCAGTTACATGGTGAACACTTCAAGATGGGACCTCCTCAAGGGAATTTTGTAAATCGTTTGGAAAACTGACAAGTTGATAAATAAGACAAATTGTGCTACATTTGGGAATCTTTATTCTGGAAACGTTTCCAGAATAAAGATATCCGTATGTTGCATAAGTGTCTTGTTATTCTCAAGGGAAGTTCTTTGATGGTACTGAGGGGCTTTTGATCCAAGGAACTTAACTTATCCTTCCTTCAGTTTAATCTAATTGCCTCTTGTTTCCCCCAGGTACTCTAATAGCCCCTGTAGGTTCATTGTTTCCCTACATGATTGTACAGAGTGTCCCAAAAGTCTCCATACTTAGGGAAATTTAGAAGTTGTAGCAAAATGTAACTTTATTTACAGAATATTCTCTACATGATTGCTATTTCTTCGTAAACACATGTGGAAGTGCCTCTCCCTCTCATAGTGTACTCGTATTAACACATTTAGTCCACAACACTTCCAGTCTTTTTGATTTTCACAGTAAGTTTGGCAACAGTGTCATGTGTGACATGCTTGCCATGTTTCATGTTAAAGTTCATTGCAACCTGGAAACAGTTTTCCAATTCAGCCATGAGAATGATTTCTATACGTTCTTCTTTTGACAAAGCCATTCTTAAAAGGTATCTGAAAAGAAGAAAAGATATTAGCTATGTATGAAGACTTTTGGGACACCCTGTGGTAATAAGTCATGAAGGGTAAATCTCTGTAGTGTAAGGTGATGGCTCTTACTGTTAACCCTGTCACTATCTCCCACATAAATCTATGTTACTGATGCCAGTGTTGCTCACGTACATCTATGCCTTAAGTACAGCACCCTCGTATATACTGTGAGTGGTAACTTTTGGCTTGGAAATGAAAGAATGGATCTGTGTGGTGGGTGTGCACAGTATAAAAAAAATTCTGCCCACACAGTGCATGATGGGAAATGCAAACTTCTGGCCCTGTTTTTCTTTAAAATTGCAACTTTGGGGTTTTCCTAGGGCAGTTTTTATTATTTTATTGGCTGTTTCTTGATAGATTGGACAACACACTAGTGAAATAGAGGTGATTCTGGCCAGTTTCCAACCTGAGCTAGCTTGAAATAGGCCTCAAAGTGACTGAAATATTAGATTTTTAGCACTTTTTCTGAGGAGGGATAGGGCCACCTCTCCCACTTAGTTGGTTTTGTGGTTTCTTATTACATCTGCTTCAATTTTTAGGAGAGCTTGAACCATGATCAATCAGTCATGGTTACATTTTATCCGAGAAAAAGGGTAAGATCTTAATTTTTTGTGTGATAGATTGAAAATAGGGGTTGAGTGTTATACAGGAGAGGCCTGGGGATGTGATTAATGATCAGAGCAAAGGTTGCTTTAGTGACTGGAATGTTTTCAGTGTTTATTTTACTATTTTTAAATTGGTATTTGTTGAATTTTGTGTAAAATTCACCAAATTACTGACTTGTGTAGTTTCTATGGTAGTTCTGATAGTTGAATGGGCAGTTTCCTTTGCTTACTCGATAAAACAGAAGGCATACTAGTGAAATAGCCAGATTGGGTCAGAGTGAGCAATGGAATTGGCTGAAAATAGGATTCAAAATGGATAAAATCACCAGTATGTTAATTGCACCCAGACCGTCAACTTTGTGCCTACCGTATTACATAAATCTTACATCGCATTTCACATTTTGGTGTCATTACTTTCAGGAAAAAGATTTTCTACCATATTAGAATATATAATTATAAATTTTGGTTTTTGAAAAATTGCAGCACTGTTGGTATTTTTAATTTTATTGGGTCACAAACATGAAATAGTTAAAAAACATGTAAAAATATTCAAGGATGTTGAAGTTGCTTAATTACCATTTCTTTGTTTATTTTCAAGTACTCCTTAATAGATTCACTAACTATAGATGACATAATACAATGTAACGTTTCATTTAGTAATAATATTTTTTTTTGCTATAAAAGGCAGGACATTTGTTTAATGAAAAATGAAAGATTCTGTAGCATAATTAATTATACATTAACTATTTTTGAGAACTGGTTGTTTTTTCCAAGGGAGGGTGACCCAGAGAAGGAAATACATTAATCCCTTACACTGTATACAGTATACTCAGTACAGTATATCATTATATCTACTCATCTGCTTTGTAAAAGTTTGAAAAATTTGAAACTTAAAATTTGAAAGCCAGCATCAGTACCTGATTATATGTATGTATTGACTGTATTGGGAAGAATTCACAAAGTAGCGATGGGTAGTAATGTATGCAGTAGCACAGGCTTCTCTTAATAGAGTACTGTATTATGTTTTTGTACATATTGTTTTCTGTAAGGTTAAATGCTGTATTTATTAAAATATTCTGTGGGAGTTACTGAAAAAAGAGGGAACTTGATATTCCAATTGAATATTCCAAGTACAGTGCTCCTAACATCCAAGTCCAGGCTTTACGTTTTTTTTTTTTTTTTTTTTTTTTTGTTACTTGTGCACTGAGTGGATTTTATCCTTATTTTCTCTTAATTTATGTGAACGTGATCACACAAGACAGTAACATTTTAATTCACCTGTATTTTATCGAAAATCCAGCTAATATTGTAAAGTGTTGTACAGTACATTTGGATTAAAACATCATAAACACTGGGAGATGAAAAGTGAGAGACCACTTTGACAGAAAAACGAAATGTAGGTAAGAGTGATCTGTGTACAGTATTTTGGCCTAAATCTGAGACCCCTTTTCAGCAGATCTGCCAAAGGGGGTACATGATTAAGGTTGTGATATACAGATCTCTCTCTTACTTGTCTTTCATTATCTGTCCCAATGGTCACTCAGTTTTCATCAGTTGTACAGTATATATAGGCATGATATCAGCTTTGAACACTGTGGTTAATGTTTTTCCCCATTATATGGCAATTTGTCTTGGAAGCAGAAAAGAAAGATTCAGCCTTATGCAGTGCACAGTATTATAGGGCATTCAATTTATTTTTTTAATAGCTCTGTGATGCATCTGCTTCTTTTTCATTTAAGCTTGCATATTGACAAATTCGTAATGTATCATACAGTTTTATATTCTTGCATTAATTATCTGATGCTGAGCTGATACAATACAAGGTTTACACATCATTAAAATTTGTTAATTTTTGAAAATACAATTTACCCTAAAGTTTTGGTGTCAATTTAGGCATGAGATAATATGCCCTTGGCATTCCATGCTGTAGGCCTATATTGACGCATAAATTGTGGTGATGGGCTGCCCAGTCATGCACGCATCTATTTCAAGTGCTTTACTAATACCTTCCACTAATTCACTGCTCATTTTGGTGATTAGGAAAGCTGAATATACTGTTGTGTATGTAAAGACATATTATGCAGGACAACCTTTTAATGGGATAATGCTTCACTCAAGGTAGAGCTCAGTGCTTGAGATAGAGCTCTGCCATGAGCAAAACATTGGCCTAAAAAAAAAAAAAAATTGTTCTGCATTCTGTGTAATCATGTTCATACCTGTCGGCATTATGCCAGTTCACTTTGGATATACTCTAATACTGAATTTGTATTTAGCCACTTTTAGTGAAGCAAAACTGTTTGAAGTTGAAAATGAATCAGTCATGCCCATCACTAACCTCTTTATCAAGTAGTCAAAAGGCAAAGAACAGCAGAGGAATAATGGTGCTATTTTTTTAATACCTTTTTGGAGATTTATGGATTAAAATGTGCCATTTGAAATGTAACACAGAGTATAAATGATAATCCATTCGAGTTTTCTGTTCCCTCAACAGTTCCCCATTGAGATGTCAATGCCATGGATTTTAACTGATCACATCCTCCGCTCCAAGGACGCATCAATGATGGAGTAAGTGATATTCTGTTTTAGATAGATATACCTTTCTTTGTGCTTCAGTAGTTTATGTTAGAAAGAGGAAATTCCTTGAATGTCTTAGCTACACTCTGTTACTAACCATTCCTGTGTAATAATGAAATGTTTCTTGATGTCATGGGTTCCTCTGAAGATTTACAGGAAGCTCAGACACCTATTAGAAAAGTCATTAGTAAAAACAATTTAGAAAATACAAATACCATCCTACTTACGACCGAGCTTGGTTCCGACGAACTTGTCGTAAGTCAAAATGGACGCAAGTCGAACCTTATGCTTTTAGTACTGTATTTTATGCTGTAAGGTTTTGGAGAAACACTGTGTTCAACAGTTGTTTATTTGCATACAAAACATTCGTGTGCATGATAAAATGTGAAAACATTCATATGCATGAACAGAAAAGTACAAAATAACTTAAGCTCAGCTGTAAATGTACAGTCGTAAGTACGAGTGGTCGTATGTCGAGCAGGTCGTAAGTCGGATGGTAGGTGTACTGTATTTTGTGGATAAACTGTCAAGGTGTAGCACAGTGACTTAAATTATTCTCTGTACTTGCAATTAGAGATATTTTGTATTTACTTTTTTGTATTAATGTTTTTGGTGTACCATGTATAGTCATTGTTGCAGTAAACCATTATGAATAGTAGATTGGTTTTAGAATGAAGAAAGGGTTTCACAGTATGGTATCAGCTGGCAATATATAATAATAGATTTCTAAGAGGGTATAAGCAAATATAGATTGTGAATGCCAAGAGAATTAAATATACAGTACAGTATTTCAGTATACAGTTCACCAGGAATAATTTGCATTAAAAATGAAATGCTAATCTTGTAATTAGTAAAGTGTGCAAGAGAGCTTCAACCAGTATGGGATGCAGAGATGTTGTTCATTTATTTGTCATAAAATGACATGCTCAGTGGTGCTGCACCATGGCAGGAGTGTGGCCTGGAGTTTTTAAGACTCACCGCGAATTCAGTCCCCATCCATACCATGGTTTGTTAATATCCAGGGACATACTCAGTTATGGGGTAGCTTTTGGATTTATAGTGTACCTAGGCAAACCAACTGCTGGTTTACTTGTTAGACATAGTGGTCTGAGGAGTGCACAGAATTGGAGTAACATTTTCTTTGAAAATAACCTGACTTGTAGTACCATATTGTATGAATGTACATTGAGATTTGTAATTTCTTTTTCATTGGTTAATATCAGGTTATTGGCATATTTTGTTTGGGAGAAATCATGTATTTTAGTAACATAAAGTTACTGTACAAATAAAGCAGTATCACACTTATGTCATTTAAAAATGTATCTGAACTCTGGTTAATTTTAAGAACATAAGAACATAAGAAAGGAGGAACACTGCAGGAGGCCTGCTGGCCCATACTAGGCAGGTCCTTTACAATTCATCCCACTAACAAAACATTTGCCCTACCCAATTTTCAATGCCACCCAAGAAATAAGCTCTGATGTGAAAGTCCCACTCAAATCCAACCCATCCCACTCATGTACTTATCCAACCTAGATTTGAAACTACCCAAAGTCCCAGCCTCAATAACCCAACTAGGTAGACTGTTCCACTCATCAACTACCCTATTTCCAAACCAATACTTTCCTATGTCCTTTCTAAATCTAAACTTATCTAATTTAAATCCATTACTGCGCGTTCTCTCTTGGAGAGACATCCTCAAGACCTTATTAATATCCCCTTTATTAATACCTATCTTCCACTTATACACTAATTTTCTTTTCAGATGTGTGCTGTATCCATTAGATTTATATAATGACAGTGCATATTATGCCCTGACTCACTTTCGCAAGCAGTTTCTTTATGACGAGATTGAGGCAGAAGTCAACCTCTGTTTTGACCAGTTTGTTTTCAAGTTATCGGAACAGGTCTTTGCCTACTACAAACACCTTGCTGGCAGGTACGTGTAGAGGGTGAAGGTGTATGTGTATGTGTACTCACCTATTTGTGGTTGAAGGCTTTGAGCCATAGCTCCTGGCCCTGCCTCTTCACTAGTTGTTATTAGGTTCACTTTTTTCTGCTCCAAGAACCATATCGTGCAGGTTGTGTCATGTGGATTCTTATGAGTGATCAATTTTTATGTGTAATTTTTAAATATAAATTAATGAAATGTTGAGTAATCACAGAATTTTCTCAGCTGTCCATTTTATACTAAGTTATTTTGGGCTGAGTCCCTGGACCCATTGTTCCTCTGTAACCTCTTTACTACTGCCCACACAATGTTTGTGGGATAAGAAAGCTCTCAAACTTTATACTGAATTATTCAACATAATTAGTTGCCCTTGTGCTTAATATATATTTTTACATAAGTAATTTTAGAGGAGGAGGAGAGAGGAAATAAGGTGGAGGAGGAGGAGGAGGAGTTTTATTAAATTTGATTGTTACTAAAATTGTCATTTATTAGAGTAGCACTTAGGAGTAAAATTTATGTTAAGATTACTAGTATATTACAAAACATTTATTTTGCTGAAATATCTCTTCTTGGCTGTTACCCCAATGTCATCTGCAGCTACAGTACTAAGAATTAACTTCTGCCATTTCTAGCATACTCCTGGACAAGCGCTTCCGGAGTGAGTGCAGTCAACACAACATGAGAATTCACTATCCTCCAGCTAATAGGTAAGTTATCCTATTGAGGGGCTGAATGCATTGATGCAGGTGAGGGGCTCTTGATCCAAGAAATTGTAGTGCCTCCCCCCCCCTACCTTCCTAAGATTAACTTTGATTACCTTCCCACCCATCCATTACCCCTGGTCTTGTATAATCGTTATTAATTTAGCGTTTCCCCATTAATGTAATCACAGTTACACCCTATCCCTTTTATTCCTCATGCTGAATGACCCTTACAGTTAAAGGTATTCACCGATATGAGCAACTTGAGTTAGCATTGCAGCCATCAAATGATGAGGTGATGCAGAATTAAGATTTCTAACATGTCAGCCACCAATTGAAAGTTAGGATGTTGCCTATAAATAATCACTCTCCACTCCTCCCATTTCCCAGGCATTGTATGACCCTTATGGGTTTAGTGCTTCCCATGAATATATTAGTAAGGAAGTTATGAGAGAATGTTAGATCTTTGCTTTGGGTTTTTCACTATTAATTTCCCATACTTGCTTATATTGCTTATTGTAAAAGACATTTTGAACATTCTACTGGTTTCTAAGACTTGAAATGCCTGATGTCAGGAAAATCTGACATAATATACTGTGCCTTCATTTCATAGGAAGAATGAGGATGTTGCAGTTCTGAGGGTCATCTGAACTGTTAGGCCAACATACTTGTAGTACAACATTGATTGAATGACAGGGAATGTATATCTGTTTTTTGGGTCACCCTACCTTTGTTAGAGATGGTCACTGCTTTATTAAGAAAATACCATATTGAAATTTAAAGATCATAACATCCTGTAGCTACAAACAGTTAAAGCAAGGAGGAGCAAAGATGGGTATATTATACACAAATAATCCACATATAGGAGATAGAAGCTTATGACAACTTTTTGGTCTGGCATGGACCAGTTACAAAGTCACACTGTGACTTTGTAAATGGTCACAGTCAGAGCGAAGTGTCGTCTTAAGCTTCTTTCCTATGTGTAGGTTATTTGTGTGTTGTTCCAGTCACAGTATTGTGCGCGTTTGTTCTTTATGAGTATATTATATACTGTATACTTGATCTGAAGGAAGGATGATACTCTCTCCTGTCCTTGAGAATATGTTCTGGTTGAGTCTGTTCTCAAGAAAGATTGTCACGTGAATCCTATTTTTGCCCCATTACCTTCTCATGTAGTAATCATAGAAGTGTAATCTTTTTGAACACCAATTCCACTTTTGCAAGGTTTGGTCATTTTTTACTTTATTAATATTTCATCAACTGTTTTGTAATTATGCCAATTTTTTTTTTTTTGTTGTCAGAATTTTTTATTGTTTCAAAGCTTTAAACAGGGTATGGGGCAGATGTTTACTCCTCACTCCCTTTAAGGAGAATGTCTTGATGATGGTGAAGGGCTTATGAGTCAGTGATTGGGAGTTATCCTGCCCGTTCTTGGATCAAACCTGATTACTTCTTATTACCCAAGTGTTGTGTGACTTACATGAGCTTAGTACTTCCCTATAATAATAGTAATTACTCTCCAGACTTCTGTCCTTTGGTTTTCCCCATCCTTTCTCTAAACTTTTCTTAAATTTAACTAATTTAACTTCCTTTCATATAATGTTTTTAACATTCTTGACAGGTATGAAACCCTGCTCAAACAGCGTCATGTTCAGCTCCTAGGACGTAGCATTGACTTGAACAAGCTCATCTGCCAGCGCATCAACGCATCAATGCACAAATCTTTGGAAGTAGCTATCTCTCGTTTTGAAGGAGCTGATATCACTTCTGTTGTGGTAAGTATAATGAGTTTTTCCTCACTATATTTGTACACTACAACCAAAATTTGTAGTTGAGTTATTTGTGTAGATACAATATTTATATTTCACAGAAAACAATGGTTTTATTTCACACATTTGTATTGTGGCTCGGCAATTATAAAACTTTAATTGGTTCTCAAGTGCCTTCTTTGTAAGTGGGAATGTATGCAACTTCGAGCATTTGTAAGTTGGGAGATATGCTGTAATTATATCTTCATGGATATGAATTGGTACTATATTCTGTATACAGCCTCTCCTCACTTAACAACGGAGTTTCGTTTCTTAAGATTGCGTCGGTAAACAAATTAGTCGCTAAGTGAGGAGCTTACTATAATGGTAGTGGGTTTGTGTCAACCATCTTTGATATTATTTTAATGTCACCTTTGTGCCATTTATAACATTTCTGGTATATTTTTAAATGTTTATACAGTAGTGTACTGTATATTGTAATAAACAAAATAGAGGAAATCAGCTCTGATATACATTATTTAGGTATGCATATTGGTCAGAGAGCCCGTCATAAGTCCGAGTTGTCAGTAAACGAGTACTTCGTTAAGTGAGGAGAAGCTGTACTGTAATTCTTGGCAAGGTATATTGTGTTGCAATAATTTGAATTATTAAACATATTGATTTGCTTGATTTTAGGAGCTGGAGGGTCTGATTGAAGTCAACAAGTTAACACATAAACTCCTGTGTCAGTTGTTAGTGTTAGACGACTTTGATGCTCAGCTGCGGGAAGCCAACCACAATGTATTAGCACCTTATGGCAGGACTACTCTTCATGTCTTCTGGGAACTCAACTATGATTTCTTACCCAATTACTGCTATAATGCAGCAACTGGCAGGTAATATTTATCTCTGCTTTCCTATAAATTACAAATGAAACTTTTGGAATGGAATTTGCTGATGACTATATGTACCATATTTTTTGGCTTATAAGGCACGTTTTTACTTCAAAAAATCTTGGAAAAATCACCCTGCTCAAGGTCAGGGTCAAGGGTAGGCTTTGGGTAATGCTTTAGCAGTTGCTTACTAACATTATATTACTACTGCTTGGAAACATCATCTTATATGCTCATGCACCTCATGTGCCAGAAAATAGGGTATGCTTGAGGTGGTGATGCTTATCTAAAGTACTTGTTATTTACTTGGGAGATAATTTTAGCCTTTTTTCATAAAGGCTGTTAGTGTTTTTTTTTTTTAACATTGCGTGTTTCTCATCAAGGTTGTTTAACCCTAAGAAGGAAACACATTTGGTATCCCTCATTCAATAAATCTTTTGACAGAAGCACACAGACATAACAGTTCTAATGAACTGAATTGTAGCATTCCCCACACCATTCTTGAGAGTAAAGGCATTGCACTTCCCATCTGCTAAATTCATGGGATTCATTTATTGCAGCTAGCTAAATGTAAACATTTTATTTTCTTGACCGCTTCCATTAGCCCATCATTTATTTCGGTGGCACTTTCCATCTGTTGGTTTTGTAATGCAGATCAAGATTAACAACTCATTGGCCTTTAACCCATTGGCTGTTTCGGCCATATACATACGTCTTATGAGCCAGTGTTTCGGATGCATATGTATATACAGTGGACCCCCGGTTAACGATATTTTTTCACTCCATAAGTATGTTCAGGTGCCAGTACTGACCGAATTTATTCCCATAAGGAATATTGTGAAGTAGATTAGTCCATTTCAGACCCCCAAACATACACGTACAAACGCACTTACATAAATACACTAACATAATTGGTCGCATTCGGAGGTAATCGTTATGCGGGGGTCCACTGTACTCAATAATTCTAGCGGCTTCAAATCAAGCAGGAGAAAGCGGGTAGGCCCACATGTGAGAGAATGGGTCTGTGTAGTCAGTGTACACTGTATGAAAGAAGTCCTGCAGCACACAGTGCATAATGAGAGGAAAAAGCTCCGACTGTGTTTTTGGATTAAAACGCCAACTTTGAGGTGTATTTTCCTATAGTATTTATGGTTGTATTCTCGTTTTCTTGGTCTCATTTGATAGAATGGAAAACATATCACAGAAATAGAGATGATTTCGATTAGTTTCACAATGAAAACGACCTTGAAATTGAGCTCAAAGTAGTGGAAATGTTAAATTTTTACCGATGTTCAAGAGTAAGCAAATCACACCGCACGTCCAATACACGTCAACTTGGTAGTCTAATATTCTTTCACTAGTGCACTGATATTATACCATTTTTTCAATAATGCAGTAGTCTGCATAACAGTAAATCTTCTATTTTTTTTGTGAATAAAAATCAAAATAAAAAGCGAGAGTAATATAAGAGGGGCCTGGAGATGTGACTGATGAACAGAGGATATGTTATTTTAGTGCCAAGAATGTCTGCACTGTTTATTCTGGACCCTGTTTTGAAATTGGCATCTTTTTTAATTTGCATGAAATTGGAAAATTGCCAATTTTTGACCACTTTTTTGAGCAGTTGAAATCGGTAAATGGGCAGTTTCTTGTACTCAACTAATAGAAAAAATGGAGTTCTAAAGAAATGGCTATGAGTTTGGTCAACTGGAACAATGGAATTGGCCAAAAATAGGGCTCAAATTCGGTGAAATCGTTGATGCGTATGTATCACCGAGATCGCTAACTTTGCAGGAGTGTAATTCCATAAGTTTTCGATCAAATTTCATACTTTTGGTGTCATTACCATCGGGAAGAGATTCTCTATCATTTCATAAGAAAAAATATTTTTTTTTTCCAAAAATTTTTCAACACCAGGATACACTTCAGGATTTGGGATTGTGACAGTCAAAGGGTTAGAAACCCTCACCTCCTCCTCTTTTACTACTGCATAGAGTACATGCAACATTTTCTGTAAATCAGTGCCCTCTACTATCTTATTAAATATATCAGTAGATGGTTCACCATTCACCGTATCTTTCTAAGCAACTTCAACTTATGCATTTTTTAGGCTTAGCTCTATTGCTCACTTAATCTAAGATAGTGTAAACATGTTATCAGGCTTTTATATGCATCTGAAAGTAAAAAAAAGACTAGATTTCACTCTACAGTGATTTTTTGCTTTACTACAGTAACCCAGAACATAACCTGCTGTATAAGGGGGCCCTGCCTGTAAGTAATTAATAAGAATAAGGCCTTTGTTTCTTTATCATTGTTTTACATTAAAGTGGTGACACTTTTTTTTTTTTGTCAGGAAAAATGAATTTTTTCTTTCCAGATGACCCTATCTTTTTTTTTTTTTTTTTCAACAAGTCGGCCGTCTCCCACCGAGGCAGGGTGACCCAAAAAAGAAAGAAAATCCCCAAAAAGAAAATACTTTCATCATCATTCAACACTTTCACCACACTCGCACATTATCACTGTTTTTGCAGAGGTGCTCAGAATACAACAGTCTAGAAGCATAAACATATAAAGATACACAACATATCCCTCCAAACTGCCAATATCCCAAACCCCTCCTTTAAAGTGCAGGCATTGTACTTCCCATTTCCAGGACTCAAGTCCGACTATATGAAAATAACCGGTTTCCCTGAATCCCTTCACTAAATATTACCCTGCTCACACTCCAACAGATCGTCAGGTCCCAAGTACCATTCGTCTCCATTCACTCCTATCTAACACGCTCACGCACGCTTGCTGGAAGTCCAAGCCCCTTACCCACAAAACCTCCTTTACCCCCTCTCTCCAACCCTTTCGAGGACGACCCCTACCCCGCCTTCCTTCCCCTATAGATTTATATGCTTTCCATGTCATTCTACTGTGATCCATTCTCTCTAAATGACCAAACCACCTCAACAACCCTCTTCTGCCCTCTGACTAATACTTTTATTAACTCCACACCTTCTCCTAATTTCCACACTCCGAATTTTCTGCATAATATTTACACCACACATTGCCCTTAAACAGGACATCTCCGCTGCCTCCAACCGTCTCCTCGCTGCTGCATTTACCACCCAAGCTTCACACCCATATAAGAGTGTTGGTACTACTATACTTTCATACATTCCCTTCTTTGCCTCCATAGATAACGTTTTTTGACTCCACATATACCTCAACGCACCACTCACCTTTTTTCCCTCATCAATTCTATGATTAACCTCATCCTTCATAAATCCATCCGCCGACACATCAACTCCCAAGTATCTGAAACATTCACTTCTTCCATACTCCTCCTCCCCAATTTGATATCCAATTTTCTTTATCTAAATCATTTGACACCCTCATCACCTTACTCTTTTCTATGTTCACTTTCAACTTTCTCCCTTTACAACACATTCCCAAACTCTCCACTAACCTTTGCAATTTTTTTCTTTAGAATCTCCCATAAGCACAGTATCATCAGAAAAAAGTAACTGTGTCAATTCCATTTTGAATTTGATTCCCCATAATTTAATCCACCCCTCCTCCAAACACCCTAGCATTTACTTCCTTTACAACCCCATCTATAAATATATTAAACAACCATGGTGACATTACACATCCCTGTCTAAGACCTACTTTTACCGGGAAGTAGTCTCCCTCTCTTCTACACACCCTAACTGAGCCTCACTATCCTCATAAAAACTCTTTACAGCATTTAATAACTTCCCACCTATTCCATATACTTGCAACATCTCCCACATTGCTCCTCTATCCACTCTATAAATATGCCTTTTCTAAATCCATAAATGCAATAAAAACTTCCCTATCTTTATCTAAATACTGTTCACATATATGCTTCAATGTAAACACCTGATCTACACATCCCTACCCACTCTAAAACCTCCTTGCTCATCCGCAATCCTACATTCTGTCTTACCTCTAATTCTTTCAATTATAACCCTACCGTACACTTTTCCTGGTATACTCAGTAAGCTTATTCCTCTATAATTTTTACAGTCTCTTTTGTCCCCTTTCCCTTTATATAAAGGGACTATACATGCTCTCTGCCAATCCCTAGGTACCTTCCCCTCTTTCATACATTTATTAAACAAAAGTACCAACCACTCCAACACTATATCCCCCCTGCTTTTAACATTTCTGTCATGATCCCATCAGTTCCAGCTGCTTTACCCCCTTTCATTTTACGTAATGCCTCACGTACCTCCCCCACACTTACATTCTGCTCTTCTTCACTCCTAAAAGATGGTATACCTCCCTGACCAGTGCAATGAAATTACTGCCTCTGTTTCTTCCTTAACATTTAAAAGTTCCTCAAAATATTCTCGCCATCTTCCCAATACCTCCATCTCCCCATCTACTAATCCCCTACTCTGTTTTTTAACTGACAAATCCATATTTTCCCTAGGCTTTCTTAACTTGTTTAAACTCACTCCAAAATTTTTTCTTATTTTCATTAAAATTTCTTGACAGTGCCTCTCCCACTCTATCATCTGCTCTCCTTTTGCACTCTCTCACCCCCTCTCTTTACCTTTCTTTTACTCTCCATATACTCTGCTCTTCTTATAACACTTCTGCTTTGTAAAAACCTCTATAAGCTACCTTTTTCTCTTTTATCACACCCTTTACTTCATCATTCCACCAATCACTCCTCTTTCCTCCTGCCCCCACCCTCCTATAACCACAAACTTCTGCCCCACATTCTAATACTGCATTTTTAAAACTATTCCAACCCTCTTCAACCCCCCCACTACTCATCTTTGCACTAGCCCACCTTTCTGCCAATAGTCGCTTATATCTCACCCGAACTTCCTCCTCCCTTAGTTTATACACTTTCACCTCCCTCTTACTTGTTGTTGCCACCTTATCTATTTATTATTATTATTTTTTTTTTTATTAACACATCGGCCGTCTCCCACCAAGGCAGGGTGGCCCGAAAAAGAAAAACTTTCACCATCATTCACTCCATCACTGTCTTGCCAGAAGGGTGCTTTACACTACAGTTTTTAAACTGCAACATTAACACCCCTCCTTCAGAGTGCAGGCACTGTACTTCCCATCTCCAGGACTCAAGTCCGGCCTGCAGGTTTCCCTGAACCCCTTCATAAATGTTACTTTGCTCACACTCCAACAGCACGTCAAGTATTAAAAACCATTTGTCTCCATTCACTCCTATCAAGCACGCTCACGCATGCCTGCTGGAAGTCCAAGCCCCTCGCACACAAAAACCTCCTTTACCCCTCCCTCCAACCTTTCCTAGGCCGACCCCTACCCTGCCTTCTTCCACTACAGACTGATACACACTTGAAGTCACTCTGTTTCGCTCCATTCTCTCTACTTGTCCGAACCACCTCAACAACCCTTCCTTAGCCCTCTGGACAAACAGTTTGGTAATCCCGCACCTCCTCCTAACTTCCAACTACGAATTCTCTGCATTATATTCACACCACACATTGCCCTCAGACATGACATCTCCACTGCCTCCAGCCTTCTCCTCGCTGCAACATTCATCACCCATGCTTCACACCCATATAAGAGCGTTGGTAAAACTTACTCTCATACATTCCCTCTTTGCCTCCAAGGACAAAGTTCTTTGTCTCCACAGACTCCTAAGTGCACCACTCACCCTTTTCCCCTCATCAATTCTATGATTCACCTCATCTTTCATAGACCCATCCGCTGACACGTCCACTCCCAAATATCTGAATACATTCACCTCCTCCATACTCTCTCCCTCCAATCTGATATCCAATCTTTCATCACTTAATCTTTTTGTTATCCTCATAACCTTACTCTTTCCTGTATTCACTTTTAATTTTCTTCTTTTGCACACCCTACCAAATTCATCCACCAATCTCTGCAACTTCTCTTCAGAATCTCCCAAGAGCACAGTGTCATCAGCAAAGAGCAACTGTGACAACTCCCACTTTATGTGTGATTCTTTATCTTTTAACTCCATGCCTCTTGCCAAGACCCTCGCATTTACTTCTCTATTTAGGTTTTGATTATTTGATCAAGGCCTTCCAATTGCTTACTATTCTGTCCTGTTTAAAAATTTAACATTGCTTCCTAAAATTCTTGTTTTGTGTTGAACTTTGTAAAAGCTAACCTTGTCTTGAATATGTTGTAATGAGTACCCCAGATTTGATGTAATTATGTTTTCTGACAGATTTGTCAAAGCAGTTGTGACTACTTTTGCTCAGGCAGTGCAGAGAGACAAACCTCCAAATGTGGCTCCATACATGGTTTGGGGAAGTAAAGCACTGAATGTTGCTTACAGCACTATATATTCACAGTATTCTGGTGAGACCCATAAATTTTTTGTACCTCGTGTTATTGACCGATCTTAGAGCAGGACAAGAACTGATGTACAGTAAACTCTCAGTATGACTGGCCTTGATTTAATGGACTTTGGAAATGCAGGACAAACTTATTATTACTCTTTTGTAATGATAATTGTTATTAAATACATAGAATTTGGAAAAGATCTAACTACTTGTTGACTTACCTATCTTGCTTTAGAAAGTAACACATACCTGTGTTGCTTTAGAAAGTAATTCATGGTACAGGTTGAAAACTTGTACCATGCTGATATGTTTGAATGTTCTTGACCATCATGATGATATTTCTTGCACAGTAGTCATTGTTAGTGAATTGTGGAAATTAGTACTATACTAGAAATAAAATAGTTGAATTTCAGTTATTTAAATTATTTTCATTGTAATTAAAACTACATATCTGTACTGCATTTTGTACACTACTGTGTGCTAATTAAATCTTTTATTACTGTTAAAAAATTGTAGACATTATTGATTTTCAGAAAGACAATGAGTAAGTAAGTCATGCATGTCATAAGAGGCTACTACAATTCTGGGAGCAAGAGGGTAGTAACCCCTTCTCCCATATAAATTACTAAATTTGAAAAGAAAACCTTTTTGTTTTAATGGACTTTGGAAATGCAGGACAAAATCATTATTATTGTTTTTGTAATCATAATTGATATTAAATACATAGAATTTGGAAAACATCTAACTACTTGTTGACTTACCTATGTTACTTTAGAAAGTAACACATGCCTACGTTCATTTTTCTTTTTAGGTCACCCTGCCTTGGTGGGATACTGCTGGTGTGTTGAAAAAAATAAATGTTTCTTGTTTCAGGGTTCCTTGGACCACCACACCTGAGGTCTATCGTGCGTGTGTTGGGGTACCAGGGCATTGCTGTTGTGATGCAAGAGTTGCTTGAGATTATTCACTCACTCATTCAGGGAAATATATTGCAGTTCACCAAAACACTTCTTCAAGCTATGCCTAAACAGTGCAAGCTTCCCAGATATGACTATGGATCTCCAGGTACATTGCCGTATAGATTTCTTGCTCTATTTTTATTAGTATTGATGTTTTATTATTAATTGGTGCTTTATTAGTAGTAGAGTTTGATTATTGGTTTTATTACTATTTTTTTAATGCGCTGGTCATCTCCATCCAAGGCAGGGTGACCCGATAAAGAATCACTTTCACCATCAATCACACTATCACTGTCTTTCCAGAGACACGCAGATTTGAGAATTAAAATGTCCCTCCAGACAGCATACATCTCAAACCCTTCCTATAGAGTGCAGGCACTGTACTTCACATCTCCAGGGCAGTGTTACCTACCCTAATATTCTGGCTGTTTACATATTTCATTTTGGTTTCAGAAAGAAATCTAAAAGTTTCTTCTGTTTTTATCATCTGGTACTATTTTATACTTTGAAAAATATAGTCCAGTACTTTGAGTGACTTTATTCAAAGTTTGGTCAGTGACCCTACCAGGGCATGGGTGTCACACCCTTAAAGTCACCAGGAGCTGGCTAATAAGGCCAGTTGTACATGTTGCAGGGAACAGACGAACATATGGTTTCCTTTGTTAAATGTTCCTAGTGTTACCACACAAGGCAACTGTCTGTGCCATTGACATTCTACTTATTCTGGTGCTATGTAAATGCGTAATAACTTGTGAGTGTTTAATACAAGAGAGCCCTGCTTATACAGCAGGTAAGGTTCCTGGGTACTGCTGTAAAGCAAAAATCTCTGTAAAGGGAATTGTAGCCTTTTTTTCACTTTTAAATGCATACAAAAGCCTGATAACATGTTTCCACTATCATAAATTGAGTAAAATAGCTAGGCCTAAAAAATGTATATAAAGTACACACTTTACTTACCTTAAAATATATTTGTTCTTAGCTTATATTGAATGGTGGATATATTTATTGTAGGAAGTCTGAATAAATGAAGAATGGGTATAACTGAAAACCGCTGCATTAGCGAAATGCTGTGAAGCGAGGCCTGCCTGTAACTAGCAGATGAGTAATATAATGATTAACCTGGTTCTAGCACTTAGTGCTGACGTAAAAATTTTCTTTAACCCTTAAACTGTCCAAACGTAGATATACGTTCAAGTGCGTAGCGCTCCGAATGTCTATATTTTATTTTACGTGCTTTCAGATGTAAAAAAAAAAACGTAGATCTACATTCGGAGTGCTACGCACTTAAACGTAGATCTACCTTTGGACAGTTTAAGGGTTAAAGCATTTCAGTGTTTAACATTAATATTTTCCCTCAACCTTAATATTATACCTTAATTATCACTGTGAAGTAAAACATTTAACAAAGCAATTTTTTTGATAGTGTTCTGCAAAAGTTTGAGCTTCATTAAGCCCTCTGAAGCTTCATAAAGTCTTCTGAAGCTTCATAAATTCTTCTGAAGCTTCATAAAATCCTCTGAAAAAGCACTCACCATGAATTAATTTAATAGTTGTTTGGCCTGTAGTCCCAGCAAAAGCTTAATGCAGGGGCTTGTTTGATGTGATTTCTGTAACAGAGATCATTATGAACTAAAAATTTATTTTTCAAGTTTGAGATAATTCCAAATTATAATTCTGAATAAGAGGGATTTACTGCATTAATGTTTATTTAGTATACTGTAGTTAAACCCCCCACATAACACCTAACAAAGAGTTGCAAGTCAACAGACTTAAGAAATTGGTATGGCCACGGTCCTGAAGAGGTCAATTTTTATAGTGTGTATTGCAATTGAGATAGAATAAAAAGTTTGTATTATGATGTCTTGCCATATGGGAATTTTGAAGAATTAATGCTTTTTAAAGAATTGTGCTTTTTGAAGAGGTACTCCTTGCTTATATTATATTTAATGTTTGTAATGTACAATATTGTGACCTCCCACTGTATGGTGATTTTCGGGGATTTATTTAATTTTTTTTTTATCATTCTGGCTGTCTCCTACTGAGGTAGAGTGACCCAAAAAGAAACACTTTAACCATCATTCACACCTCCCACTGTATGGTGATTTTGGGGGAATTTATGTGGTTATGAACTTTTAACTCTGAAATTATTTTATGCACTGCATTATAGAAGAAGTCATCCTTGGTGCCATATTCTAACAGTAATTCTCTTAACAGGTGTTCTGGGCTATTATCATGCACAACTGAATGATATTGTGCAGTATCCTGATGCCAGAGCTGATCTCTTCCACCACTTTAGGGAGCTTGGCAATGCTCTACTTTTCTGCTTGTTAATAGAGCAGTCCCTCACACTGGAGGAAGTGTGTGACCTCCTGCAGGCAGCACCCTTCCAGAATATATTACCCAGACCATTTTGCAAAGGTGAGTGCTTATCTTATGCTGAAGTGAGAGGAAGATGGTAAATCTTCTACTTGATAACCCATATCTAGGTCTTAAGGAGTCTCTTTAGCACTAGAATTATTTTATTTTTTTATTATCACACTGACCGATTCCCACCAAGGCAGGGTGGCCCGAAAAAGAAAAACTTTCACCATCATTCACTCCATCACTGTCTTGCCAGAAGGGTGCTTTACACTACAGTTTTTAAACTGCAACATTAACACCCCTCCTTCAGAGTGCAGGCACTGTACTTCCCATCTCCAGGACTCAAGTCCGGCCAGCCGGTTTCCCTGAACCCCTTCATAAATGTTACTTTGCTCACACTCCAACAGCACGTCAAGTATTAAAAACCATTTGTCTCCATTCACTCCTATCAAACACTCTCATGCATGCCTGCTAGAAGTCCAAGCCCCTCGCACACAAAACCTCCTTTACCCCCTCCCTCCAACCTTTCCTAGGCTGACCCCTACCTGCCTTCCTTCCACTACAGACTGATACACTCTTGAAGTCACTCTGTTTCGCTCCATTCTCTCTACATGTCCGAACCACCTCAACAACCCTTCCTCAGCCCTCTGGACAACAGTTTTGGTAATCCTGCACCTCCTCCTAACTTCCAAACTACAAATTCTCTGCATTATATTCACACCACACATTGCCCTCAGACATGACATCTCCACTGCCTCCAGCCTTCTCCTCGCTGCAACATTCATCACCCATGCTTCACACCCATATAAGAGGGTTGGTAAAACTATACTCTCATACATTCCCCTCTTTGCCTCCAAGGACAAAATTCTTTGTCTCCACAGACTCCTAAGTGCACCACTCACCCTTTTCCCCTCATCAATTCTATGATTCACCTCATCTTTCATAGATCCATCCGCTGACACGTCCACTCCCAAATATCTGAATACATTCACCTCCTCCATACTCTCTCCCTCCAATATGATATCCAATCTTTCATCACCTAATCTTTTTGTTATCCTCATAACCTTACTCTTTCCTGTATTCACTTTTAATTTTCTTCTTTTGCATTCCCTACCAAATTCATCCACCAATCTCTGCAACTTCTCTTCAGAATCAGAATCTCCCAAGAGCACGGTGTCATCAGCAAAGAGCAACTGTGACAACTCCCACTTTATGTGTGATTCTTTATCTTTTAACTCCACGCCTCTTGCCCAGACCCTCGCATTTACTTCTCTTACAACCCCATCTATAAATATATTAAACAACCACGGTGACATCACACATCCTTGTCTAAGGCCTACTTTTACTGGGAAATAATTTCCCTCTTTCCTACATACTCTAACTTGAGCCTCACTATCCTTGTAAAAACTCTTCACTGCTTTCAGTAACCTACCTCCTACACCATACACCTGCAACATCTGCCACATTGCCCCCCTATCCACCCTGTCATACGCCTTTTCCAAATCCATAAATGCCACAAAGACCTCTTTAGCCTTATCTAAATACTGTTCACTTATATGTCTTCCTGAAATGCACTACATGGTATTGGCTTTTGTGCCTAATAGTAGTAGAACCCCCATATCCACTGATTTGGTATCTGTGGTTTCAGTTATCCATGGGTTACTGATTCCCAAAAATACCTCTTAATTTTGCATAGTTATGGCCCCAAAGTGCAAAAATAGAGAAACTGGCAGATCTTCAAGGCCTAAGAAAAGCCTTGAAGTGCTTCACATCAATGAAAAGTGATAATTCTTCACTTATACTGCATAATTTATCAATTAAACTTTATAATAAGTAAGTATAAAACTTACATATATAGGGTTTGCTATCCACAGTTTCAGTAACCACGGTAAGGTCCTTGGAACATATCCCCTGTAGATACGGGGATCCTAATGTATTTAATGATATGTAAATTACGTTACCTGTATACTGCAGAAAAGAAATAAATGATTTTATTTTATTTCATGCACAAGCCATTATTTTTTAAGCATTTCTAATTGTTTGAATTGTTGATTCATTCACATGAACCTCACAGGCATTATCCATTACACATGCTTTTATCTAACATTTCTGTTTTCTTTAAAAGTCATATAGATTCATGCTTATTCTTTTTAGCACCTCCAGCACCATATACGAAACAGAATAATGAAAATATCTAAAATAGCTCTTATAAACATAGATTGAGGGAGGAACAAGATAATTCCAGAATGCATCTCTAGGTGGTGTGGGTTTTACATAATGGTTCAGTTATTTCTATTGATGGTCTTCAAAAGTGAATAGGTTGAGGAAACATTCTTCTTGATTTAAAAGGTGTAAAGTAAGTCGCAATACCATGGCTGGAATAATTGCCTATTGACCTTCTATTCAGAGAGGAAGCCTTAGACTGTTGCAGTCCATCCTGGACCATTATTTTGTTAATGTAGATGTGTTTAGCCAAGAAGCCGGTTTCTGGATGCTGGTGAGAGGCTCTTGATCCAAGTTATTGGACCTTTCTTCCTCTCTGTTGATTGAATCTGATTGCTACCCATCCCACAAGTTTTATATGACTTCTACAAGCTTAGACGTTCCCTAATAATAAATAATAATAATAGAAGAAGAAATAATGACAAACCATTCATGTTATAAGAGGCGACTAAAATGCCAGGAGCAGGGGGCTAGCAACCTCTTCTCCTGTATATATTACTAAATTTAAAAGGAGAAACTTTCATTTTTCTTTTTGGGCCACCCTGCCTCAGTGGGATATGGTTGGTTTGTTGAAAAAGAAAAATAATAATGATAATGTTTAATCAACAGTTGACTAAGTGTACTTATTTAACCAAAAAATGGGAGATAAGCTAGTCATTGAGAGCACAATCTGCTGGAGGCTCTCTCCTCTCTCCACTGATTGTGAGCACATTCATTACCATTCACTATTGTTCCTTCTTCTAATTATTTATAAATTCACTGCCATTCACTATACAATTGTTCCCTCTGATAATTTTCAGTAAATTTAGTGCCATTAACTATACTGTTGTTCCTTGATATTTTGCAGAGGGTGAGAAGCCTGAAACTAAACAGAAGCGCCTAGAGGCCAAATACGCTCCTCTGCAGATTGTCTCCAACATTGAAAGACTTGGAACAGCAAAGGTGAGTGATGGTAACTACTTAAGTACATATTATGATTGTTCTTCTTTCGACAAGCTGGCCATATCCCACCGAAGTAAGGTGGCCCAAAATGAAAAACAAAAGCTTCTCTTTATAACTTTAGTAATGTATACAGGAGAAAGGGTTACTAGCCCCTTGCTTCCGGCATTTTAGTCACCTCTTATGACATTCATGGCTTACGGAGGAAGAATTCTGTTCCATTTCCCCATGCAGATATTATGATTCTTCTCTTTCAACAAAACAGCTGTATCCCACCAAAGCAGGGTGGCCCAAAAAAGAAAAACAAAAGTTTCTCTTTTTGACTTTAGTAATGTATACAGGAGAAAGGGTTACTAGCTCTTTGCTCCCAGCATTTCAGTTGCCGAGATTTTATGATTATTTAATCTTAATAATTTTATTGCCTGCTATTTTGTTAACATTTCTCTCAAATCTTTGCTCCCATCACAAATATTGGATTTTTGTTTTAATGGTATCACATTTGTAGGCTTATTCCTTGATAATGTTTAATTACAGCTCTCAACTTTCAGTACCTCTTGAGAGTTATGCCATAGTAAATGGATTATTTGTTTATTTATATATTGTATAAAAAAGTGAGAGCATGTATAGTCCCTTTATATAAAGGGAAAGGGTACAAAAGAGATTGTAAAAATTATAGAGGAATAAGTTTACTGAGTATACCAGGAAAAGTATACAGTAGGGTTATAATTGAAAGAATTAGTGGTAAGACAGAATGTAGGACTGCGGATGAGCAAGGAGGTTTCAGAGTGGGTAGGGGATGTGTAGATCAAGTGTTTACATTGAAGCATATATGTGAACAGTATTTAGATAAAGGTAGGGAAGTTTTTATTGCATTTATGGATTTAGAAAAGGCATATGATAGAGTGGATAGAGGAGCAATGTGGCAGATGTTGCAAGTATATGGAATAGGTGGTAAGTTACTAAATGCTGTAAAGAGCTTTTATGAGGATAGTGAGGCTCAGGTTAGGGTGTGTAGAAGAGAGGGAGACTACTTCCCGTAAAAGTAGGTCTTAGACAGGGATGTGTAATGTCACCATGGTTGTTTAATATATTTATAGATGGGGTTGTAAAGGAAGTAAATGCTAGGGTGTTTGCGGAGAGGGTGGGATTAAATTATGGGGAATCAAATTCAAAATGGGAACTGACACAGTTACTTTTTGCTGATGATACTGTGCTTATGGGAGATTCTAAAGAAAAATTGCAAAGGTTAGTGGGATGAGTTTGAGAATGTGTGTAAAGGTAGAAAGTTGAAAGTGAACATAAAAAGAGTAAGGTGATGAGGGTATCAAATGATTTAGATAAAGAAAAATTGGATATTAAATTGGGGAGGAGGAGTATGGAAGAAGTGAATGTTTTCAGATACATGTACTTGGGAGTTGAGTGTCGGCGGATGGATTTATGAAGGATAGGTTAATCATAGAATTGATGAGGGAAAAAAGGTGAGTGGTGCGTTGAGGTATATGTGGAGTCAAAAAACGTTATCTATGGAGGCAAAGAAGGGAATGTATGAAAGTATAGTAGTACCAACACTCTTATATGGATGTGAAGCTTGGGTGGTAAATGCAGCAGCGAGGAGATGGTTGGAGGCAGTGGAGATGTCCTGTCTAAGGGCAATGTGTGGTGTAAATATTATGCAGAAAATCGGAGTGTGGAAATTAGGAGAAGGTGTGGAGTTAATAAAAGCATTAGTCAGAGGGCAGAAGAGGGGTTGTTGAGGTGGTTTGGTCATTTAGAGAGAATGGATCAAAGTATAATGACATGGAAAGCATATAAATCTATAGGGGAAGGAAAGAGGGGTAGGGGTCGTCCTCGAAAGGGTTGGAAAGAGGGTGGTAAAGGAGGTTTCGTGGGCGAGGGGCTTGGACTTCAGCAAGCGTGCATGAGCGTGTTAGATAGGAGTGAATGGAGACGAATGATACTTGGGACCTGACGATCTGTTGGAGTGTGAGCAGGGTAATATTTAGTGAAGGGATTCAGGGAAACCGGTTATTTTCATATAGTCGGACTTGAGTCCTGGAAATGGGAAGTACAGTGCCTGCACTTTAAAGGAGTGGTTTGGGATATTGGCAGTTTGGAGGGATATGTTGTGTATCTTTATACGTATATGCTTCTAAACTGTTGTATTCTGAGCACCTCTGCAAAAGCAGTGATAATGTGTGAGTGTGGTGAAAGTGTTGAGTGATGATGAAAGTATTTTCTTTTTGGGGATTTTCTTTCTTTTTTGGGTCACCCTGCCTCGGTGGGAGACGACCGACTTGTTGAGAAAACAAAAAAAAACAACAACAATAATAATAAAAAATAATTATCCATGGGATAACAGAACAGAATTCTTCCTCTGTAAGCCATGCATTTTGGCGTAAAAAAGAAAAACTTTCGTTTTTCTTTTTTACATCACCCTGCCTCGGTGGGATATGGCCAGTTTGTTGAAAAAATAATAATAATAATAAACTAATTGCTAAACCCAAAAAGGTTACTTTAAGTCGTAAAAACCACGTGCCTCCACTTACTCTGTCTAACTTCCTAACACAAGCCTTCTGGATGTTTGAGCCTCTGGCATTCAGCCTCCTTTATCTCCTCCGTCCATCCTTTCTTGTACAGTCTTCACCTCCCAGTCTGCCTGTCACCCCTGATTTATCTACCCTCTTATTCATCTTGTTTTGCTCTATTCTCTAAATGTCCAAAAAAAACACCTCAGTTGCTCCATTCTCTAAATGTCCACAAAATTATTTTTTTTTTATTATCACACTGGCCGATTCCCACCAAGGCAGGGTGGCCCGAAAAAGAAAAACTTTCACCATCATTCACTCCATCACTGTCTTGCCAGAAGGGTGCTTTACACTACAGTTTTTAAACTGCAACATTAACACCCCTCCTTCAGAGTGCAGGCACTGTACTTCCCATCTCCAGGACTCAAGTCCGGCCTGCCATGTCCACAAAATACCTTAGTTATTTTAAATTTATATATATTTATTTTATGTTTCAGCAAGCCATGATTGCCAGAGAGGGAGACTTGTTGACGAGAGAGAGATTATGTTGTGGCCTCTCAATTTTTGAGGTATGTAACTACCATAGAGATTTATTTGGCATAGCAAAACCAATATTAATTATTAAAATTTAAAGTTAGGATATTTTTTACAGTAATTTATACTTGTCCATGTTGAACATGTGATATTTCTTGGGGATAAAATTTGTGTGATATAAAATCTTAAGGATTTGGGAGAGTCTACACCTGTAATTACATTGTATGTATTCGCAGGTAATTCTTACGAGAATTCAAGCTTTTCTAGAAGATCCCATATGGCATGGCTCCCCACCTGCTAATGGTGTAATGAACGTGGACGAGTGCACTGAGTTCCATCGTCTGTGGTCAGCACTTCAGTTTGTTATGTGCATTCCTGTAGGAGCTAACAACTTCACTGTCGAGTAAGGAAGACATTGTATTTACTGTAGCTCATTATTACTGGTATTCTGATACAAGTTATGCCAGCTGTTCTTGACATTTTGTAGTTGCTTGTTCCATCTGGCCACACTCAAATTGCAACACCAGTTAAGTACCTATTCATTATTTGTCTGTAATCTTTTGACTACTGCCCACATAATGAATATGCGAAGCACAGTGAAGATATCAGAGAAATAAGTAGCAGCTTTTAAATTTTTATTCAGGCTTTTAAATTCAATAAAAATATTTTTTTTGTTGTTTACTGGTACGTGTACCGTAGTTGCTGATGGTAATTATCATTGTGCATACATTCTTATTTCTCAATACCATCAGGTGTGGGGGTGAGTCTCCTTTTTATTGTAGTTAAACTGTCATATGGGATTCTTTGGCAGATCTTTAATGGGCAACAGCCTAAAGCTTGTGTAATTAAGAAATTTTTTTCTCCATGCATTTTTTTCAGGCAACTATTTGGTGAAGGTTTGAACTGGGCTGGCTGCTGCATGATCGTTCTTTTGGGTCAACAACGAAGATTTGAATCCCTTGACTTCTGCTATCATATTCTCCGTGTGCAGAAGGTGGATGGCAAAGATGAGCAAATTAAAGGAATTGTAAGTCCAGTACTTTTTATTTTTTGTAGCTTAACAGCTTTGCATAAGGTTCATTGCACAAGAACATAAGATTAGAGAAGTACTGCGGTAGACATACTAGCTCTCCCCCCCCCTCTTTTTTAAACTTGTCCACCTTCTCCCGCCGAGGCAGGGTGTCTCGAAAAGGAAGCACTTTCACCATCGCTCACACTATCTCTGTCTTGACAGAGATGCACAGATATAACAGTTCAGATGTCCTTCCAAACAGCAAATATCCCAAACCCTTCCTTTAGAATGCAGGCACTGTACTTCCCACCTCCAGGACTCAAGTCTAGCTAACCAGTTTCCCTGAATCCCTTCACCAAATTTCACCTTGCTCTCATGCCAACAGCTTGTCAGACCACAAAACTATTTGTCTCCACTCACTCCTATTTAACTTGCACACACATGCCTGCTGTGTGTCCAAGCCCCTTGCACACAGAACCTCCTTTACCAACCTCCTTTACCCCCCTCCCTCCATCCATTCCATGGATGACTCCCAGCCCCCACCTTCTCTCTACTACAGATTTGCTCTAATATATTTAACTATTTTAAAACTACCCAGGATATTAGCTTCATTAACACTATTGCCAGTTTGTTCCACTCACCTACAACTTCGCTGCTGAGGAATGTAAATGCATAAGAAAGATTGATAAAGGAAAGACTGTTATACTATATGATATGAATGTATATTTTGAAAAAAATTGAAACTTTAAAATATTGTGAGAGAGAGTTGAAGTATCACGTGTAAATACAAATGGAAAAATTTCATGAAATTGTGTATTCTTAAAAAAAAAAATGAAAGAGAGAGAGAGATAGAGATAGATAGAGAGAGAGAGATAGAGAGAGAGAGAGAGATAGAGAGAGAGAGAGAGATAGAGAGAGATAGAGAGATAGAGAGAGATAGAGAGATAGAGAGAGATAGATAGAGATAGAGATAGAGAGATAGAGAGATAGAGAGATAGAGAGAGAGATAGAGAGAGAGAGAGAGAGAGAGAGAGAGAGGAGAGAGAGAGATAGAGAGAGAGAGAGATAGAGAGGAGAGAGAGATAGAGAGAGAGAGAGATAGAGAGAGAGAGAGATAGAGAGAGAGAGAGAGAGAGAGAGAGAGAGAGATAGAGAGAGAGAGAGAGATAGAGAGAGAGAGAGAGATATATATATATATATATATATATATATATAATATATATATATATATATAATATATATATATATATATATATATATATATATATATATTATATATATATATACGTATATATATATATATAGGTAGTAGGTTGGTAGACAGCAACCACCCAGGGAGGTACTACCGTCCTGCCAAGTAGTTAAAACGAAAACCCGTGATTGTTTTTCATTTGGGGAGGATGCGGTGTCTTTTGTCTGTCTCAAAAAAAA